CCTCCTCCCAGAACCTCCATCACTCTCAGAACCCAGGCATCCGGCCATTCCCACAGCTCCCCCCATACATCCCTGTCCCAGATTTAATAAGTTCTCTTCTCTGTCAATATTTGATTTCTCAGAGCCATCTCCACGGAGAAGGAGGTGGAGGGGCTCTTCCCTTCTTCCCCCCTACCTTGGTCCTCTTTGGCCCACCCCTGGTCTCTTTGTGCCCCCAACCTTCTCTGAACTTACTGACTTAATGAAATGATATTAAAGTCTTAAGCAACTCCAAAAAGAATGGTTGTTATGGTGAAGGGAGTGGGCAGGACGCCTGGGTCCCTGAGGGGAGCAAGGACTGAGGAGGGGGAGAGGGAGCCAGAGGCAAAGGTCTAGAGGCCCCAGTCTCCAGTGGGGAACAGCAATTTGGGGTGAGCTGGGGTACCACATTTCTAGATCTTGGTAGGAACCAGGGCATGAGAACTGGGTGTTAGGAGGAGGTTAGGAGAGGTCAGAGTCTTAGTCTGCTGTCCTGAGACTCCATCAGGATGGAGAGGCCAGCGGGGGAGACAGGGCCTCTGTGCCAGCAACCTCCCTGCTGACTGCCCTGGGCCAGTCCCGTGAGAACCAGAGTGGATTCCTCTACAGCCCTGACTCATCCCTCTTTCCCCCCTTGCGCCCCCAGCAGCTCCCCACAGGTGATTTGTAGCTAATGCTCCCACAATGGCAGGGGCCAGGACAGAGTCATTCCATGACACGAAGAACTGAGGGCCTCCAGAGAGAAGAGAACAGAGGCCAAGGATGGGAAGCCAAGCACCACTCCTAGCTCCCCCACCCATCCCCATCTCACTCCCCTGGGGACCCTGGCCCAGCCCCAGTCCCCTTGGGGTGGTGGGAATGCAGGGACATTTGGCTGAGGCTGATTGATGAAGGAGGAGGCAGCCCCTGTGCACTGAAGCTGCTGTTTGCTGAGCACACAGATTCCTCCCCACTCACCAGCTGCCACCCCCTGAGGCTGTTCGGACCCCGCACCCCATCAGCCACTGGGGTTGGGGGGAGCAGATGCTGTAGCTTTAGATGGCAACCTTAAAGAGGGAGAACCAGGAAACTGACTGCTTCGAGTCCCTAGGAGAATGGGGGCACCTGAGATCTGGTTCTGAGGGCAGAAATTCTTTGACTCCACCTGCTCTGCCACCTTGAAAATGTCATTCTCACTCCCCAGTTGTCATTATCATTCATTCTGTGTCCTTTTTCCAGCCCCCACCCACCTCTCTGAGCCTATGCCAGCCAGCCCCCTTCCTCCAAACCACCCTGTATCACTTTTCTCAACCTGCTGGCTGAACTTGAACCTAAGAAGGAAGATCCCCATATCCATGGGAACCCACATAGTCCCTTAGGAAACTTTTTTTTTATTTTAACTGAAATTCCAGATGTGATGTCAACCATTCCCCACCAGAAATTCCCACTGCAAACCCTGGCCCCATTCCTCCTCTTTTAACAACCGTCAACGTAAGCTACACACCCCGTCAGGTGGAACTTGGAGCCCTCAGCTGCTTCTGTTTGGAAGGATGACAAAGTCTGTGCTTCAGTCTGAAGCTTAGCTCTGGCTTCAGTCTTGATCTTATGCTGTTGCAAGGGGTGGGGGGACAGCTTTAGATTTGTCATCCTCAGCCCTCTAGATTCCTTTACTTCCACTCTACCTGTGTGCTCTGGACTTTGTGTCATAGCCCCCAAAAGCTCACACATCATATTCCCTCCCAGAATTTAAAACACACTCGAGGAAAACAAGTAATCCACAGACACACAAGAAACAAAGGAAGAAAAATATAAGGCTAAGTTAGATCAGCTTCCTAAAAATGGAATCTAGACCCTAAGTGACTTGCTCCCTCATAGGTTGAGGCTAAGGAAAGACAGGACACATCTGGAACTTATGTGTGACATGGTATGCTTCTTGTTATGCTCAAACATGCCAAGATTTCACCTCTGTGCCTTTGCACTTGCTGTTCCCTTTGCCTGGCATGCCCTTCCCCCCAGTGGCTGGCTTCCTCATTGTTCCACAGGTCCTCATTATTGTAGTTCATTTCTACTTCAGAGAGACCTTCCTGACCTCCAAATCTCAGGCATTTTCCTGTTACTCTCAGTCCTGTTACTCTGTTTTCTTTTTTTTTTTCTTGGTGGTACTGTGGATTTTGAGCTACTCAGCTAAGCCCTCTTTTTCTTTCTTCGTTTTGTTTTTTTTGAAACAGGGTTTCGCCCAGGCTGACCTTAAACTCTCAAAAACTCCCATCTCACCTAGCACTGTTGGCACACAGCTGTAAGCATAGCTACTTGGGTGGCTGAGATTGGGAGGATCACCATTTGAGGCCAGCATGGGCAAATAGTTCTCAAGATCCCATCTCCAAAATAACCAAAGCAAAATGGACTGGAGGCATGGCTCAAGCAGCCGAGTGTCTGCTTTGCAAGTGTGAAGCCCTGAGTTCAAGCCCAGTCCTACCAAAAAAAACCCCAAAAACTCCCAACCCCGCTTCCTGACAATTGCTACTTATAATCAAAATGTGAACTTCAGAGCTAGGGCTGTGGCTCACTGGTAAAGCACTTGCCTAACAAGTGCCAGGCCCTGGTGTTGACAGCAAAATGATATTTTTCAGAAGACCTTGGCCCTTGCGTTCCTGCGTGAAAGAATCCAAGAAGAACGTGTGGGTATAAATGGGGTTTATTAAAAGTTAGAAAAGGAAATACAACGGAAGCATGGAGGGCACAGGTGGAGTCCACTGTCAGAGAGAGCATGCTTTTCTTTTTCAGGTGTTTTTAAAACCTACAGTACCCCATGGGAGGGCAGACCCAGGAGATTCCCACCCAATAATGAATGAGTGGGGAGGGTCATGGACGGTTCCCAGCTGGGTGAGAGTGGTCTGGGCCATCCCCCAGCAACCCACTTTTCCTACTTCTAGCCTGCATCACTGGGTTTGATCCCATCATTGCCAAAAAGTGAGGAGGTTCATTAAAAAAAAAAAAAAAGTAAACAAAACCTGCTGGTGGAGTGGCTCAAGTTGGTAGAGTGCATGCCTGGCAAGCATGAAACCCTGAATTCAAACCCCAGTACTGCCAAAAAAATCCAAAAAACAAATAAACCAAAGAATATGGGCTTCGTGAAAGCAGGAACTTTGTCTTTTCTTTTTCTTTTTTTAGACAGGTTTTCTATATGTAGTCCATGGTGGGCCTTGAACTCACTGTGTAGCCCATGCTGGCCTCAAACTTCTCCTATCTCAGCCTCTGAGTACTGGGATTACGGGTGTGAACCACTACACCCAGCTTATAAACCAACATACTTCCAGTGCCTGAAATGGTACCTAGAATAAAGTAAACAAGATGTTGAGTGACTGACTGGATGAGTGAACGGACAAATCAATGTCTTCCTACCCCTTGATTCTTTTTGTTATAGTTGTTACCCTAGGAGTGTATTTGTGTATTTATACCCAGAAAGCTAACAGGATGCCATGTATTGCTGCATGTGGAAGTCACCAGCACCAGTTTTCAAATAGCGCAAAAGACATGCAAGTCACTACACATGTGAGAGGCTGTAGGTGTTGTGTTGTTAATGTCAGGCGGTTGGCAGGGAGGCTGTGGATGGCAGCGCTTCCAGCCAGGGGGTGTGTCCCAGGATGCTATGCTGTGTGTGCTGTTCCTCTCCCCAGCTGTGCATCCTTCCCCAGGTGTCTTCCTGTCTCTCAGCATGTTATGATGTCTTGGCTGCTTTGGTGAAATGTTTGTCACAGAGACTACTTATCCCCATTTCTCTTCCTTCTTGTCTGTCCACCTGTACATTTAGAAGGATGTGTCAGGGGAACTCTCCCTCAGCTCCCTTGCCCCCTCACACACACACACACACACACACACACAGCCCTGCCCCAGTCTTGGACCCCTCCCTTTCTCAGTGGGCCCTGTTGCTGGGCTCTGAGTTGCCATAGTGACGGTTGCCAAGTCCCTGAGGCTGATAGCCAGCGATGGGGCTGTCGGCTCCATCCACGCGGGAGGCTGAGGGGGGCTTCCCATTGTGTGGAGAAGGGGATGTTGCCAAGACAACCAACCCCCACTAAGGGCCAGGGACCAACCCTTCCACCCCCTTCTAGCCTCCCCACCTCACGCAGCTCCAGTGTGGGCTCATAAGGCAAGAGTAAATTCCAGACAGCCCTACACCTGGCCTCCCAGTCTTCAACTCCCCTCCTACAACGCCTGCATCTTCCAGGACCCAGGTCTCTTTCTGAGACAGGGGGAGGGGTCCCAGTGGACAGAGGAGGAGAGAGGGACCCCTTGACCTCTAGGCAGATGGGAGACAGCGGGAGGGCACCTAAAGTCAGGGAAGGGGTGGGGAGGGCAGAGGTTGTGACCCCTGCTGATTCGCTCCAGTGATGCTCCTGACGGCTGCTTTTGTGGTTGGAGAATGGGGCTGAGTCTAGGGGACTGAATCTAGGCACCTGGGTTTTTGGGGGGAGAAGAGCCTGGGTTATGGGTATAAAGGCAGTTAGGGAACAGGCACTTGACGCCTGGGTCCCTGAGTCCTTCTGACTTGCTTCTGATCACCTCTATCCCTTCTCCTCATGTGAGTCTCCAACAGCAACACTCCCCAAGTCAAGAGGTGTCTTGAGGAGAGGTGGTAGGAATACTTTAGCATGTGACATGCTTTCACTACTTTGCTCCTAATTTCAACTTGCCTCCTCTCCCAGGTGCTTTGGTTTAGAGACAGACACTCCCACTCCCCATGTGTGACTTGTATATTCACACACATCTTCTAGTGTACTGGCAGACCCTCCCACCCCAGTTCCTCTCCCTCCCCTGCAGGTGGTTGCCTTCCTCAAACTTCTCTCCTAATCTATGATCCCATCCCCTCCCCACACACTTCCCACCTACCCACTCCAACCAACCCTCTCTCCCTGTTCTTCTTGGTTTTGTGTGATCCAATCTTTAGCTTGAAAGTCATTCTAGCTACCTAATTCATGACCAGTCACTCTCCAACCTTCTCATCAACTTTTTTAGTTTTTTATTTGTTTTTTGTTTTTGTTGTTCAAATTTCCCTTTTAAAGTAAATCTATTGAGGTGACGGCTGATTCCTGTCACCTCCCCCATGGCAATATCAACTTCCTGTTCCCTGGAAGGAGCTGGGAACTGCAGACCAGAAAGATGACAGCCTCTGGTAGACAAAGCAACCATCTTGGCTGGTGACTGAGGTGGCCAACTTGGTGCCCAAGGGCAGCTTTGATCTAATAAAACTGAGCTGGGAGGAAACTGAGGCAACAGCTGATTGTGCACTAGATAACAGGACGAGGTATAGGCTGGTCACTATAGAAACAGCAGCCCGTGCTAAGTACCACTGTCAGCTAAACCACTCAGTATAGCCACCATTTTGGTCACTAAGAAGAGAGCTGTTGAGTTTGAAGGGAGGATTGGACGAACAAGACAGCCATCTGGTTACTGGGGGAAAAGACATGGGCTCTTGGGGTAGTCCTGTTGATCAACAGAGATTATATCGGAACACGGGAAGGGAAGAACAAGACAAATTGGGCTTGCCACAACAGATGGCAATCATCTCAGCTGTCCTAAAATCACACAGAGCACAAGGAAAGGGAGATCTTGGGAAGTGCCACTGAAATACTAAGAAAGTTCTCAGCCCACCTCTGTCCTCTCACCATCAGTTAAGTTCCAGCTTCCTCCTGAAACAGGAAGTTCCTCCTGCCCCTTTCTCCACAGGGCAAGAACCATCCACCTCCCACCCCCAACCCCCAGACTAAGCCACTTGGAGTTCCAGCCAGACCACTTCATATTTCAGAAGTGCTACTTCCTGTCCTGGATGAAGGCACTTCCAGTTCCTGCTGCACTGCTTCTGCCACTTCCCAGGCCATTTCTGTCCAGGCCTGGTCACTTCTTGTCTGGAGCAGTCACTTCCTGTCCCAAGTGGCCCATTCAGCATCAGGCCAAGTCCATAATGTCCCAACTGGTTCGTATCTTGTTATCAGCCACTGGACAAAACGGGGCACTTCTTCTCATGGTAGCTGTGGTGACCCAACCACCCCAAATGGCTGGAGTAAGTTTGTAGAGGCCTGGGGCAGGCAGAGAGGAGGCCCTGCCGCCCATGCCCTGATCTGGAGTGGAGTGCCACAGCCTTCCCCATAAGGCCCCCATTTTTGGCGGACTGGAGGGGAGGAGTTGGTATGAGAGGTCAGAAGGGGGGCCAAGAGCTAAGGGGAGAACTGCTTTGACACCCCACACAGGAGATGGAAGAGGCACAGGGTAAGAAGCCAAGAGGATAAAAGGAGATGTAAGGAGGAGGTTGCTAGGGAAGAGGAACAGAACAGACCTAGAGGCAGGAGAGAGAGAAAGAATAAGAGATAGAGAGAAGAGAAAAACAGTGAGAGGCAGAAAGAAAGAGGTGCCAACCAAGATAGACTGTTCCCGCCCCTATTCTGGGTGGGTGAGGTGGACAAGGATACATGGGTCATAGAGAGGAGGCTGAGCCTGTGCCCCCTCCCCAAGGAATGCAGACACAGAGGGATACCCATGGCCAAACAGAGCAGGAGGGGGTGCAGTGGAAGAGAATCCTAAAAGTGGAGACAAGGGCAACAGCCAGGAGGATCAAAAGAGCTGGTGGGGCAGAGGGGGCTGAGGAGACCCCAGAGGTGTCCCTCACACCATGAATTAAACTGGAGGAGCACCCCAAGGAGGGCTGGATTCAGGAGTGCCAGGTGGGAGGCGCCCTCATACCTTGTAGTAGATGTTTGGAGGGCTCTGGGGGGGCCCATCCTGCACAATGTACACTGGGTGCCCGTAGTCACCACTCACCTTCTCATAGTGGGGGCAGAAGGGGGGATCTGCCGCCCCACTGCCCCGCAGAGCTATCCCTAGCTCTCCAGGCTCAGCCTCCCGAGGTCCCATCCCCCCACTTGCCCCCAGGCCCAGAGACCCTCCCCTCCCAAAGGAGCTGGGACCAGGGTGGCGACTCTCCGAAGGCTTGGCCCGCCGTCTCCGCCAACACATGGCACCCCCAGCCCCTGCCACGCCCAGCAAGAGCAGCGCCAGCCCCCCTGCTGCCCCAGCCACTGCGGGCATGCTGGGAGGGGGCAGGGGGCCTTCAGCACCCCTGGAGGTTGCATTGCTGGTGGGGTCACCTGGCAGGGAAGGGGTGAAGGAGGAAAGAGGGGGAGGGGCTGAAGGAACAACCTGGACATCTGGACACCCCGCCCTGGGGGTCCCCATGGACTTCCCCAGCAGTACCCAGGCCCCTTGGGGACCCCACCTTCCATCCCCCCAAGCCTGGCTCAGAATCCAGGTGTCCAGCCTGCAGCTCCCTGCCACTTCGTCCTCCCCACTTCTCTGACAGCACTGATTGAAGCACTGACTTGGCTAATTAGTTCTAATTGAGTCTTTTCCTCATTTGGCTCCCATTCCCCTCCCACCCTCCCATCCTCTCTTCTCTTTCCTGTTACGCCAGCCCCAAAACAAGAGAGGGAAGAAGGGAGAGGATGAAGGCAGGGCAGGTGGGGTCTGAGAGCAGAGAAGGCAGGGGCTGTCCTCTAGTTCCTACCTGGCATGCTCTCCTTCCCAGGCTCCAAGTTGTGGGCTGCCCCTCGGTCTCTCTCCATGGGCATTTCAGACACAGTTTTTCGGGGCACAGTCCCTCCTCGAGGACCTGGAGATGGGCAAGACCCAGGAGAGAAGGACTGAGACAACTGCCCCTGATCATGACGGCACTGCCTGAACCCCCCTCTGCTCCTAGCATGTATCCCTCAGCCCCACTCACTTTGTCCCACTCGGAGAAGCACCTTCATGCCTCTAGTTAGGCACACACCTCCCTGCAAGCTCTCCAGCCCTTCCCGAGTCCCATCTGATGTGGCTGGGAGAGAAGAGCAGAGAGAGAAGTTGGCACTCTTGGGTCTGGTCCCTCTTCTGTCCCCATACCCTGGTGGGAACACTGCTGAGAACTTAAGGGGTCTTCATTTAGATTCCAATGGTCTCCCACCCTTGCCTGCCCTTGATCCCAGGGACAACACCCACTAGCCCCTGTCCCCTGCCCATCAATACCAATTATGTAGTAATCGTGGTGTGAGCGGAACTCATGACCCCAAAGGTTAGGACTGTACTCCTGGAACTTGATGGTGAATCGGAGGTCCAAGTCTGGCCGGTCACAAGTGAGGAGGAGGTTTGGGGCAGGGGGTGCCTCGCAGCGTCGGCCCTGGGCACCCCCTACCAGGTATAGCTTGTAGAACTCATAACTAGGAGAGGAGTGGGGGCCAGGAGGCCGAGCCCGTGGGCAGAGCAGATCTAGACGGTCCCCAATCTGAGGGTAAAGCACATAACCACCCTCTGCCTGGAACCTATGGGGAGGAGGGGGAGGTGGACAAGAAAGAGATGTCAGGGCTATGGTTCCCAGAGCTTTCCCTCCCTCACCCATAACCCTCCAGGACAGCAATTCTCAGCTCCTGCCTGCTGCCTTTGTCTGAGACGAAAGTTGGTTCTATGAGCGCAGGCACTGAGTGCTCTGAGAGCTCACATCAGAAGCAGCAGGAAGCCAGGCTCAGAGGTCTCCTGCCCCTTGGTGTGCCCAAATGCACTCTTCAGCCCGCCCTCACCACATGCACACTGCCATCTCCCGCTCCATCACTGGTGCCATTGCCATGGCAACAGGATGCCAGTTACCAAGGAGCTGGCCTCTCTGGAACCACATAGCCCACCCCTCCCAGGTGATTTCACTATTCCATGGCAGCCAACCATGGGGGCAGAGCCTCCCCTCCTCCAGGCCACCATCGAATTTCAGGGATTTCGGGGCAAAGGGGGCAAGTAGGGGTGGGGGAAGGGCTGTGGAGGGTGATCCAGACAGTGTCCCAAGTTAGCCAATTAACAGGACAGGAGCCAAATGCATTATTTGGCCATGACCCTCAAACAGGGCTAATGGGAACCAAGGTGTAGGGGCCAGCTGCCTAGGTCAATCCCCAGCCAGTCCCCCTACCTCCTACCCTGGGGCTCAGACTTCCTGGAGAAAGTTGCTCTATTGCTTTGAAATTGAAGTGTTGACTTTTCTAACACAACGGATACAATCCAGCATCTCCTTGGCCAGTGGGCCAGGACATTCATGGGTCCAGCACAACAACAACTTGCCAACCATTGCAAACCCTCCGTGTACATTCATAGATGAGACAGGGTCTTGGGTCTAGGTCCCAGGACTGGGCATCTTCCTGGACTCCCAAAAGACCCACTCCCTCCCACCCATCATCCAAAAGAGCCCCTAGGACACCTTAACTGCCTTTTCTCAACCCTACCAGAATAAATCTAATTTATGTTCTCAAATCACACCTGATAACTCATACTGCAGCCAAGAAATGGTAGGTGGGAGAGCATGAGTACAGAAAAAGCTTTGAGACTATCCCCACAGAGAAATGGGAAGGAGAGAGGATGGAGGACAGGGATGTGAGGAAGAGGCTGGGAAGCTTAGCTTTCGGCCTCTCCTTAGCCTACAATATATCTGAACACCTTACCTCTAATCCTCATAACACCTGTAAGAACTGAGGATACAAACTCAGAAAGGTTAAGTGACATGCCCAAGGCCACACAGCTGAGCAGCAGAGCTACGATTAACACCAAGGGTCTGATGAGCTCTAGCTTGGAAGCCCATTCCCCTCTCAGGACCTTCCCCAGGCTCCCAGGGAAGTAAGAAGTTTTTGAAACCCAGAACTCCTTGCTAGTGGAAATGGGGACTGCACGGATGCAAGGGACCCAGATGACCTCCCAAAGGTCTGTCTTACCCTGTGTGGCTTGAAGTTTCATCTGACCTCTGGCCTCTTTTCAGAGCAAAGCAAGCATGCCACAGAACAGAGGCCCTGATAGAAGAGTTTGCAGCGAAGATAGGGGGAGGGGGCAACAAAGTCCACACGACTCAAGAGGGAAGTAAGGAGGCTTGAGGGGGCCTCAAGGCTTCTTCCAGAAAGAAGTCCCTGAGCCAGAAATGCAAGAATATGCTCTGCCTGGAAGTTATTCAGCAAAGGATTCACTGACCCTCTGGCTGTGAACAGACTTGAAGAGTCAAGAAGCTTTAGGAAGTTGTTCCCAGGGCCCCCCACACTGAGCCCCTTCCCTTCCATCTCCAACACCCAGTCCCTCCTGGGAGAGAGGCACCCTGCCCTTGCCTCAGCGCCTCCGCAGCACCTACTCAGCGGCTCTCTCCTGAGAGCTGATATTAACCAGGCTCCCTTTCAGCCGATGACACAGGTCTCCCACAGATCCAAATAACCACTCCACTGGTCTCCTGATGCCCATGAACTTTTTATCTCTGCCCCTGTGGGGTCTCCAAACTCCTGACACATGGACATCACCACCCACCTCCAGGTCTGTGGTGGGACTTAGGAATCTGGCTCTCAAGATCACTGCTCTCCAGTAACCCATCACCTTATGTCAGGGCTCCAGTCCCCTCCCTGCAGCTTCTTCACTGCTCAGAGAACCCAGGCCCCAAATCTCCGAAGCTTCCACACCCCCTACCCAGTAGAGTCCGGGGGTCTCCCCATCCCCAGGCCCGCTCACCTCTTATTCGCCGAGTTCCAGTAGACAGGTTCCAGGCTGAGCCCAGACACAAGCCCCCCAAAACCTAGCAGCAGCAGGGCCCCGACTTGCACGCCCCCCGGCCCAGAATGGGGGGCCCCCATGACCCCACCAAGGCCTGGGGGGCGGGGCACTAACTCCCCGAAAGTCGTTCACCCCCAAGGGTGACTGCCTGGGCTGTCTGGTTGTTGAGCTCCGATCAGTCTGGTGGGTGGCTGATGCCCCCAGCTCCCACGGGGACCCGCTTCCCGCGCCACCCCCCCCCCCCGCTCCAAAGCGCTCAACCCTAGAAGAGCCCTTCCAGGAGCCGTCTGCAGGCGCCCTACGCGTCCCCGGCCCACGCGCCAGCACCCCGGGATTTGTGCGCGGGCCTAAGTGGGGGACTGGGGGAGCCGGGGTCCGGACGGGGGCGGCATGGGTCGCTGGACCAGAGTGAGGAAGGGGACGCCGAGCCAGAGCCCCAGCCTCGCCGGGATTGAGGGCAGCGGGCTAAGGGAGGAAACCAGTCCCGAGCCCAGAAGGGGGGAGTTAAAGGAGAGGCGGGGAGGGGGAGAGGATGGTGGAGGGAAAAACCGGAGCTGGAGCTCAGTCGGAGCGGGCGGCAGCATCCCGCGGCCCACGCCCCCCACATCTCCCTCACCTCGCTCACCTCCCGCCCGCCGCGGCCGCCTCGCCCGCCGCCCCGCCTCGCTGCCTGGCGCGGTCTCTCACGCCCCTTTTGTCTTTCCGAGTGTCGGTCTTTGGCTGAGTTTGGTGCTTGACTCCCCTCCTGCCCTCCAATCGCCCGAGCAGTTGGAATCTTCCTTTCTCGAATCCAGAAAGGCTCTCACCCAGTCCACCCCAAGGATCCCACCCCTTTCGCTCCCGCAGCCTCCCCCTCCTCCATCCCAAAACAACACCGCTGCATCCCGGCGGCCCAAAGAGAATAACCTTGAAGGCTAGGCACTTTACAAAGTGCAGCTAAGTTGATAGCCACGACTACCTGTGTGAAGCGGGAGGGCAGAGCCGCCGTTCCCATTGTAGTGATGGAGAAACCGAGATTCAGGGTGGACCCTGTGACTTGCCCAAGGTCAAGTTTGGGATAAAGCCACAAACCATTCGTGGAGTTTGTCACAGCTTCCTGAACCCTTTACTGTTATGTGGGGGTTAGGTGAAAGGCTAACTTGAGCCCTTCTTAGGTGGTTGTGGGGAGAGGAAAGGGGCTACCTACAACCCTAAAGCCGCACTCTACGGGAAAGGCTGTTTCCAATTATCCTGGGGGAAGGGAGGAGTGGCCTTTTTGGGTGTAAGAACCGTGGCTTTCAGCACCTCCCAGCAGGGGAAACATTCCTTTCCTTCCTGCTCAAACCTCCACATGCCTTTCTCTTCCCTTTGATTGTGAGGTCCCCATCACATATCCTGCTGACAGTAGCTCTTCAAAGACCCCCTTTTCGTTTGTTTGGCAAGGTGTGCGGGGAGGAGAACCGCAGACAGAGAAGCAAGGAGACAGGCAGCAGCTACTGAATGAGTAAGCCTCTTGCCCTTGTCCTGCATCTAACAAGAAGAATGTGACATCTGTGTTTTTTCTGCACCTTTGCTCTTTCCTGTGTGTCCTTGACTCTGGCTACTGAGTTGCTCAGTCCTGGGGGAGTCCAGGAAAGGGGAGTACTCCCGCACCCCCTTCCAGAACTAAGTAATGGTCCCTCTGCTGCCGGATGATGGTAGTGTGGAGTGAGCAATGCCTTGTCTGTCACTGTCTGCTCAGTCAGTCTCACAGTCACACCCAACCATATGACATGGAGCTCCTGCCACTCTTGCTTAGCTCTGCTCACCCTGGCCCTTGCAGCCCACCTTGGGAGTGAGATTTCAAACAGGTTCCCCTTCAGTTTACCAAGTTGCCTAGCAACCAGCCAGTCAATGGCATAAGGCCCCACACCCACCCACTTGACTTCACACCAAGCTCAGCCACCCATTGGCTCCTGCCTGGTCCCACCTCTCAACCTCTGGTTTCAGGAACAATATGCCAGTCCCTACCCAAGCTGGACAAGGGAGCCTACTAATCCCCCTACCCAGCCCCGAATTCTGTCATTTGCCTCCCCAAACAGACACGGAAGACTTGAGTATTACTAAAACCCTTTTATATAAGCTCACCCCCACCACCCTCTGTCCCTCCTTGTCCCTTCTCCCCCCGATCATCAGGGTGACTGGGGTCTGGGCACCCCCCACACCACCAGAGCTGAAGCCGACATTCGAGGTGGGCACGGCACAGGGAGAGCAGAGGAAGGTCCAACTTCTGCTCCCCTTCATCTCCACTCTCAGTGGGCTCTGGAAACACACGCTGACCAGAGGCAGTGGCCAGCAGAGGAAGGCTAGGGTGCAGGCTAGAGGGAGAGAAGGGAAGAGTCTGTCAGCAACTGAGCCAGGATGCTTCCTCCCGGGGGTATTCACCTCCCTCCCCAACCCCTGCCCCAAGCGCCACAGACGAGAACTGAGGACCTCACTCCGTTGGTACAGTCCTGCTGGGGCAGAAAACTCAGCACGGGCTCTGGCTTCTCATCATCACAGGCCCAGCTGGTGTCCCACACAGAGACAGCCCCGCTAGTGCTGCCACTCACCAGGAACTGCCCGCTCCTGGAAGAAAGAGGAGGCTTTCGAGTAGATCAGCATCACCTCTGGGGCAGGAACCCCTCACACCCAGGGTCTGGTACCCTACAGCAGGAGGCACCAGGGCCTTAGACCAGAAGGGGTCACGGTCACTTACGGGTCCAGATCGAAGTAAATGCGCTGATTGGTGGTTACCTCTCGACTTAGAGACCACAGAGGATGAGCAGGCTGCCGAAGGTCCCAGCAAAGCAGCTCAGTGTCCTGCAGATACAGAACAGGAGCCTAGAGTATCCATCCTCCCAATCAACACCTCAACTTTCCCACCTCCTTCTAGCTGCACACTATCTCCCCACTCCTGCCCCACTCCCCACCCACCTGTGTTGGGCTTTCAACTTATGACCCCTACCTTGCGGGCTCCTGAGAAGAAACGGTTGCCATCAGGATGAAAGCAGAGATGAGTGATGCCCCCATGGTGCCCTCCCAGCAAGGCGAGAGGAGAGCCATCATCCCAGGCATAAAGGCCCAGGGAGCGGCCGTAGGAGCCACAGGCATAGAGGGGCTGAGCTGGGCTGAAGGCTATGCAGGAGATGATGCCGCTCTGGCCCTGCTTTTTTGCTAGAGAGGACAAGGAGAGGCCAATGGCACCTGGCATTAACCAGCTAAGGACCTTCGTCCCCTGCCCCAGCACCAACATGCTAGGACTCTAGCATGTCCCCATTCTGTTTATCAAAATCAATATAAAGACCTTTAATGGTTCCTGGATTCTTCAATCCTCCCAAAGAACATAAATGCCCAAGACCCCCTTCTTCCTTCTTAATCCCAATTTTTCCAGGTAGGGATGGACAGTTAAAGGCCTACAGAAAACTCAAGTTTTCTACAGGGCTGGAGGAGAAGCTCAGTTGCAGAGAGCTTGCCTAATACTCATGGGACATTCCCAAAAAAGAATGAAATTAAAAAAAAAAAATCTGTAAAGATTAGAAGATTTTGAGACCAAAAGGTTCCTGTCAGACATGGTATGGGTCCAGGAATGACCCAATTCTCTAACCATTTGGCTGACCTTGGGAAAGTTTCTGCCCTGCTTTTTCTCCTCTACAACCAGGCATAACCTGTCTCCCAGGGATATACTGAGCATGAAGCAAAACCTTGCACTGCAGGTGACACCCTTCCCTCTCCTCCTCCCTAGGAAGCATAGATGCTTACCAAAAGTGGCTCGCACCTCACAATCTCGGCCAGGCCGAGATGTGGCAAAAACCCGCACAGTCCGGTTGAAGCCACAGAAGAGCTGAGAGCCATCCGGGGAGAAGCAGAGTGAATGGGCTGCCGTCAGTTCATCCTAAGGGCAGAAAGGGCTGAAAACTGGCCCTGCAAGCCCTGAGCTGTCCTCAAGGAAGGAGAGCTGGGCCAGGAGCATGGGGCTGGATGGGGAAGTCTGTACCAGGTGGTTGTAGGCACGAAAGGAAGCCCGGAGCTCTCCAGTGAATGCATCCCAGATGTGAATCGGGTTCTCCCTGCTGCTGCTGGCCACACTGAGAGAAACACGGACACTGAGGCCCCAGTGCTGTCAAAGGAAGGGGAGGAAGCCAACTGACCAGCCCTCTCAGCTCCCGTAGGAAGGGCACACTGACCCTTCCTCCTCCCAATAAACCTGAAGCCCGACTCTGAGCACAGAGTCCTCCTGAAACTGGATAGTGAGAGGGTGGTGGCTAATGAAATCACTTACTAGGAGGTATCTGGCTGGGTTGAGGACATCAGAGAATACCAGCAGTAATCATAGATGGTATCACCCTCCACCATTCGAAGGACAGGGGCCTGGACAGAGAGAGATGTGAGAATGTCAGAGTGACTGGCAGGGGAAAGGAGTCAGAGGCTCATGTCCCTACAAGTTTTATGGCACAGCAGAAGACTAACCAGAAAGCAGATGGGGTATTCATAAACAACAGAATCTTTACCTCACTGTTCAAGCATTAACTCCATCTCTAATGTCAGATGTAAGCCACCAAAAGCTATAATGCTTGTAATCCTAGCTACTAGGGAGGCAGAGATCAGGAGGATCTTGGTTCAAAACTAGCCCAGGCAAATAGTTCAGGAGACCTATTCGAAAATACTCAACACAAAACAGGACTGGTGAAATGGCTCAAGTGGTAAAATGCCTGCCTAGCAAGTGTGAGGTTCTGAGTTCAAACCCCAGTGCCACCAAAAAAAACCAAACCAAAACAAAACAAAAAAGCTGTATAGAGTCATACTTTTGGAACTGAAAGTGTGGCTCAAGTGGTACAGTACCTGCTTTGGAAGTGCAAATCCCTGAGTTCAAACCCCAGTCCCACCAAAAACAAAACTAACTTCATACTTTCTCTATTAAAAATGTAAAGAGGAAGAAACAAATCCTACCCCAACCTAGAGACAAATAACCAACCAATAATATATTTAAGTATTTGCTGAACAATAGTAGAGCTGGCAGTATAGCTCAGAAGTAGAGTGGTTGCCTGGCATGTTCAAGGTCCTGGGTTTGATCTCCAGCACTACAAAAAATTATATAAGTAAATACATAAATAAACATTTCAAACATGCAAAGATCTGAAAAGACAAAACAAGCACTGGGGGATGTAGCTCAGTGGTAGAAAAAGCAAAAATAAATCAATAAATCAATAAATAAATGTCATAAATAAATCAATGACATTTCCAGAAAAAGAAATACATTAAAAGCTTAAGAAAAAGAAATACATTAAAATTCCTTTCAGCTGACAAAGTGGCTCAAGTGGTGAAAGCACCTGCCCAGTAATCATGAGGTCCTGAGTTCAAACCCCAGTACCGCAAAAAAAAAAAAAAAAAAATCTTTCATAGCTGGACATGGTGGTACATGCCTGTAATCTCAGCTACCTGGGAGGTGAGGCAGGAGAATCAATAGTTTGAGGCCAACCTAGACAGTTAGTGGTGAGACCCAATCTCAAAACCAAAATACAAACAAAAGGGCTGGGATGGCATAGCTCCACCCTACCACAGCACTGCCTGGGGTGAGGGGGTTGGGATTCCTAACAGAAGCCTTCACTCAGCAGTAAACACTGTCCTGAATTTATCATTCTCATACATATATGAATATGAATATATTCATATAATAGTACTTACCCTTGTGTTACATGACTTTAAGTTTAATATTAATGGTATCTATCGCATGTATGCATCCTGCTGTGAGTGTGGTGAGATTCAGCCAAGGTGATACATTTTACTCTTAACTCACACATTGCACTGCTGCATACAACTTCCTTCTAAATGTACTCAGACTATCTATCCCTCTCATTCTGACAGTCATTGATCATTTATTTCTTGGCTTGTGTGCTTTAACATTCTTGAACCTATGTGGAAGGATTTCTCTACAGTTTCTGCTAAAGGGTAATCTACTGGTCTCTCTATTATGTGCTTTTCCAATTCTGTGAGATAATATGAAAATTTTCCAAAGTGCTCAGCCTAATTTACCCACCCAGCAGTAGCATATAAAAGGGCCCGGTGCAAGTTGGGCATTAGTGGCTCACATCTATAATCCTAACTACTTGGGAAGCTGAGAATGGTTCCAGGGCAGCCCAGGCAATTAAGTTTCATGAGACGCATCTCAACAGGAAAAAGCTGGGTATGGTGGCACACACGTAACATCCCAGCTAAGGCCAGAAGCCTAAAACAGGAGAATTGTAGTCTAGGTGGGCCTGGCAAAAAGTGAGACCCTAAGTCCAAAAATAACCAGAGTAAAGCTGGGCACCAGTGGCTCATGCCTATAATCCTAGTTACTCAGGAGGCAGAGATCAAGAGGATGAAGGTTTGAAGCCAGCCCAGGTAAACAGGTCGCAAAACTTAACTCGAAAATACCCTTCACAAAAAGGACTGGTGGGGTGGCTCAAGGTGTAAGCCCTGAGTTCAAGCTCCAGTACTGCAAAAAAAAACTGAAGGTGCAGCTCAAGCACTACAACGCCTGCCTAGGAAGTGCAAAGCCCTGAGTTCAAATCCTAGTTACCCTCTCCCCTCCAAAATAAGGGGTCTGGTGCTCTTTATCCTCTTGGTATTGTCAAACTTTTTCTTTTGTGTGTGTGTGGGGGGGGGAGGATCAAACCCAGGGCCTTGCAAATGCTAGACAGGCGCTCTACTACTGAGCTACACCCAGCAAGCACATTGCCAGAAGTTAAATTTTTCTGTTTGAAGGTTGTGAAATGGCATTTTGTTATGGCATGAATCTGCATTTCCATCATCACTATAAAACAGGCTTACATGGCTTTCTCTATTTATCAGCCATTTAATTTAAGAACACATTTTCATAATTTCTGCCCATTTTTCTACTAGGTTGTTGTCTTTTACTTACTGATTTGAAGACACTCTTTTAATAGTCCAGACACCAGTCGTTCTTCAACTACTTCAGTGTAACATCATCCAGCCGTGACTTCAGTTTCCACCCCAACACTCTAAATCCGTGCAAATGACTACCTGGTGGACAGCTCCACTTAGATGTCCCACAGACACCTCAGACTCAATTTGTTCATAACAGACCCAGCACCTGCTACTCCTCCTGGGCCTCACATTGGTTTTCAAGTCTGGAATGTGTGCCCCAGCCCTGCCCACCACTGCTCTTCACTCCCTCTCCACTCCTAGCCCAATCTAAAACCAAATCTGCCAATTCCTCCTCTGGGTTTCTCTAGACTCTCGTCTCCTCCATTCCACCTAAGATTCCATTACAACCACTGCTTTCTTACCAACATTTCTAAAAAAAAAAAAAAAAAAAGACTTCCAGTACTATGCTCCTGCCCCTGAACTCCCTCTCATCTCTATCTGCTCACTTTCTGAAAACGGTTTCATCCCATGATTTGTACCAAAAGGTAAACTCATCGTGCTCTCAACCATAGGCCTTCACATGTACTAGTCTCCAAGTCTGCAATATTCTTCCTTAGCTTCTCCATAACTCCTCTGGATTGAATCCCCATCATTCTGAACTCATATGCTTCTTCCTCTGGGAAGCCTTCTTTAACCCTTAGTGCTGTGCAAGGTGCCCCTGCTCCATGTTCCCACACTGCCCTGTGCTCCTCACTCTGCACAGTCCCTAGCTGAGACAGTAGGAGTCATGTCTGCCTTACTCGCCACAGTATTCCCAACACCTAGTGCACAATCAGCAGTCAGTAAATAATGTTTTCATGAGCAAATGGAGATAGAAAACTGTTTCAGTAACACAAGGCTCAAAATATTAGGACCTTGAATTAAAACGATGGGGTAGAGTGGGTGGATCAGAAATATGAGGTAGACATAATGAGATTTGGTAATTAATTGGATGTGGGGGATTAGGAAGATTAAAGGATGAGACAGAGGCTTCTGCCTTGAATACATGAGGCCATAAAGATGATGGAAGACTTGGGGGGAACATAGGAAGGCTATGAGATGCCAATACCCTTGGTGAGTGAGAGAGAATCAGATAGCAAAAGCTGGGCATGGGGGTAGAGGGAGGAAGTAGAGGCAGGAGGACCTCAAGTTCCAGACCAGTCTTGACTATATAGCAAATTTGAGGCCAGCATGGGTTACATAGCAAGACACTGTCTCATCTGAAAAAAAAAAAAAAAAAAAACCTGCAAAAATGAAAGAATAATTGCCTGCCTGTCTCTAGCATTTGGAAATGAGAACACCTCAACCTCCATCCTCGATCTGAGAGATGAAGGGGCAGGACACAAGGCTCTTCTGAATAGGGCAAGAAGGGCAGCAAGAGCCACATGATAGGGTAAGGACTCAGGGAAGAGAGGCTGGGGAATTAAGAAGAGTTCCAGAAAGTGCAAAAATATATAAGGGAAGGGAGAGAAACTGGGAAACTACGTTGGGAAGAAGACCTAGTTCACACAGGTATATGGAAATACAGTCATCTCAGTATCCAGGAGCATTGGTTCAGGGACACCTCCACAGATATGAGAATCTGTAGATGCTCAAATCTGTAATACATGGCATAGTATTTGCATAGAACTTATGCACACCTTCCCAATATATTTTAATCATCTCTATGCAACTTATAATTCCTAATACAATACAAATGCTATGCAAATAGTTGTCACACTGTATTGTTTAGGAATGTAATGACAAGGGAAAATATCTGTACATATTCAGTACAGACTCAATTCTTTTTTTTCCAAATATTTGGGATCTGTGGTTGGCTGAATCCACAGATGCAGCAATCATGGATACAGAGGACCACCTGTACACAAAAGTACTCTCCCACAATTTATTTCCCCCTAATATGTATGTATGTGTGTGTGTGTTTTCAGAACTAGGAACTGAACCCAGGGCTTTGTGCATGGCAGACAAGCACTCTACTCTGAGCTACACTGCCAATTTATATAAATTCTATCTCCAAATGCTAAACTCACAAACATGAAAAATAAGGACACCTAGCTGAGCATGGTGGCTCACTAGCTCACAAGTAGCTATAATTCTAGCTACTTGGGAGTCTGAGAGCAGGATGATTGCAGTTCAAGGCCAGCACAGGGAAATATTTTGTGAGACCCCCATCTCCAAAATATCCAGAGCAAAATGGACTGGAAGTGTGGCTCAAGCAGTAGACCACCTGTTTTGCAAGCATGAAGCCCTGAGTTCAAATCCCAGCCCCACCAAAAAAAGAATCTCCCTCTGTGCAAGGTTCTGGGTTCAATTCTCTGCAAGAAGAAAGAGAAGAGAAGAAAGGAGAAAAGAACCTACCTCAAAATACAAGAAGACATTTACTGAAGATTTTTCTTTTCCCTTGGAGTAGGGTCTCACCAGTTGGTTTCAAACTTTTTTTTCTTTCTTTTTTTTTTTTTTTTTCAGTACCAGGGCTTGAACTCAGGGCCTACACCTTGAGCCATTCCACCAGCCCTTTTTGTGTTAGGTATTTTCTAAATAGGGTCTCTCAAACTTATTTGCCTAGGCTGACTTCCAACTGCAATCCTCCTGATCTCTACCTCCTGAGTAGCCTGGATTACAGGCATGAGCCACCAGTGCCGGGCTGGCTTCAAACTCTTGATCTTCCTGCCTCAGTCTCCAGAATGCTGGAATTATAGGTGTGTGTCACCATGCCTAGTTATCTGAAGAGTAATTTATAATATTATAATCCTAGAAACACCACCCATGGAAGGAAAAAAGAGAGAGCAGAGGGGAGAAGAGAAGGGAGAAACGGGGAGAGGAGAGGAGAGGGGAGAATAGAGGGGAAAGGGGAGAGGAAAGGAACAGAAAGGATCAAAAGCACTCAATGCAATGTCACACACAATTAAACACAGTAACTGTGAAGACTGGACCACCATGAAAAACATTTAGGATATAACTGTTCAAAGGGAAAAAATCAGGAGGCAAAACTATCTATTGCAATGATTACAAGCACATAAAAAGCTTCAGTACTTGGACAGAGTTTTTGGAAAGAATGTAAAAACAATTTCAAGCACTTAAGCTTTGTAGAGTGATAGGTAATGATGACTTTTCCCTTATTAACATTCCTGTTTCTCCAAAACAAGTGTGTGCCATAAATACTCAACCTCCCAACTTTCCCAGAGTCTAACCACACTGGTCAAAAATGACCATACTGCTCCTAACCTCTCAGGATAGCTGTACCATTGCCCCTGGTTCTGAAACACCACCAGCTTCTTCTGTTCAGGAACCAGGGCTTTGAGTGCTGCATACCTTCCCATAGAACTCACATGATGCAGCCTCTGGTCTAGTCAATACATGTTAGGTAAGTATTTATGACCAAGCCACCCTTCTTTCAGGAGGCCATCAAGATTCACATCCCACTGGTGGAGTGGCTCAAGTGGTAAAAGCACGTGCCTAGCAATCATGAGGCCAAATTCAAACCCCAGTACTGCCAAAAATTAAAAGACTCACATCCCCCTCCCCTATTAATCCCAGGCACTACAGAAGTCCCAATCTTCTGGGTCATGTATCACCATGACCTGTGCACTGCTCTATACACATCTCAATCCCAACTCCATACTCTTTCCAGCCCAAATCCTTAAACTGGGGCCCATGAAATTCCTACTCTAGGATCCAAAAACACCCTTATTTTTCCTTTTTGTCTCAGAATGCCTCATTCACCCTTCTAGACTTGCTTGGCCTGGCTACCTGCTGTGGTCCTCTCAAGCTAAGGTGTCTTTAATGCTTACCCCTTCCTCAGTACACACTTCAAGACAGGAGATAGGTGGGGATCACCTTGGTCCTCATCATCATGTTCAAATCTTTCCCTTTCCCAAACCCAGTTTTGGTTTTTATTTTTTGCAGTTCTGGGGTTTGAACTCGGCCTCATGCTTGATGGGCAGGTGCTCTACCACTTAGGTCACTCTACTAGTCCTTTTTTGGTGTTGAGTTTTTTCAAGATAGGGTCTTGCAAATTATTTGCCCAGGCTGGCTTCAAACCAAGATCCTGATCTCTGCCTCCTGAGTAGCTAGGATTATGGGCATCAGCCACCGGTACCTGGCTCCCTTCAGTTCTTGACATCAGCGTTGCTACCCCCAGTTTGTCACCCTTTTTCATTCCCTGAGTCTTTCCCTGCTGGTTCTCCATCTTGTTCCCTATAGATCCTCCTGTTAACGTTCATCTTCCTGTTAACGTTCTTGGTGACTTCCACTTCCACAGGACCTATGGTCCTCTCTGATCAACACAGTCTTCTCTCAAGGTATTACCTTGGTCCACTCCCTTACTTCCTTCAGGTCTCTGCTCAGATGTCACCTTAATACTGACATCCTGACTGACAGAGAGGCTCAAAGTGGTACAGCACTGGCCTAGCAAGTGTAAAGCACTGAGTTCGAACCCCAGTGCCAAAAAAGTAATGACATCCTTTATAAAATTGGAATTCACTCTTCCAATCCTCTCCCCTGCTTTACTTTTCCCTATAGCATCTATTATCTATATGTATTTGTGTGTGTGTAAATATATATATATTACAGTCACTAGCCAGGATAGATGTACAACCACACTAAATACATGGTAATACCTGGTGGCAGTGGCACAAGCCTGGGCAACATGGGAGAATCTGTCTTTTTTTTTTTTTTTTTTGAGGGGGAGGTGGCAACCAACATCCGGTAGGCACTGGGCAAAGAACAACATAGAAGGTCTTCAACTTACGATGGTTCAACTTAATTTTTACACATTATAATGATGCAGACTATTGAAACAATGTGACTCAGTAAAACCCATGCTTCTTATTTTGAACTGTGACCTTTTCCCAGGCTAGAGATATGTGGTATCACACCGTATAGCACACTATTTTGTTAAGCTGTGATGTTCAGTAATGTTAAGTGTATTAAATGCAACCTCAACTTACGACATTTGTATCTCATGACACAACTCTTCATAAGTCAAAGAGCACCTACACTCCATTCCTCAGTGATTTTGGTTTTCTACTCTCTACAACAGATCATTTTGTGCCTTCTGCTAGCTATTTCCACACAGACCCTGAAAACCTCCCTTTATACTTCACTTAGAATATAGAAACCAAGAATATCTACATCTTCCAACCACCAAAGAACTGCCTCCAGATGCTCCTCGGCCTTTCTTAACTCTGTTATTTTCTCTCTCTTCTACAGCCTAGCTATAGTTTAAATGTGTCAAAAAGTTATACCCCAAATTCATATATTGTTCGTATTTGGAGGTAAGCAGAGTTAGATGAGGTCATGGGGTGGGGCCCCATGATGGGATTAATGGCTTTAAGAGCAGGAGAAGAGATCCAGGTTTTTACACTCCCACCATGTGATGCCTTCTGGCAGGTTGTAATAAAGAAGGCTCTCACCAAATATGGCCCATGATCTTGGACTTTCCAGCCTCCTGAACTGTGAGAAAAAGTCTTTTCTTTAACAAATTACTCAGTCTCAGGTGCTCTGTTGTGGCAACACAAAACAAAGACAAAGATCATTTCCTTCCTCTGCTAGGTTATTCCTGACATCACAAAAGCACCCAATAAATCCTTCTTTGGCTCCAAATTCCCTCTGGTTACATTTATTGACTTCCTTTCACTGTGAACCTTCACCTATACTTTTTCTTCTACCCACTCTAATTGGCTTCTTCCTTCCGTCGTTCCTCTGAGAGTGCTCTTGTAGAGGTCACTAATCCTCTCAAGTCATTCTCTAAGTCCACCTCACTCCACCTTTCAGCAGCATCAGTCATGACTACCTCCACCTTTGTCACTTCCACCCTAATCCTGGATACTGGAGAACACTCAAGACTTGGGGTGGGGGGGCAGGAGGAGGGAGGCATGGCTCAAGTAGTGGAGGGCCTTCCTAGCAAGTTCAAGGCTGAATCCAAACCTCAGTACCAAAAGAAAAAAAAAAAAGGCTCTGCACAGATCTTCTCCATCTACACCCTCTAGAGACTGAATCCATGCAATCCATGCTCAAGACATAAGATACCATCTATGTGCTCTGCTTCTCAAAGCATATTCCCAACCTCAATCTCTCCCCTTACCTTGACATTTTACATTTAATGTACCTAAAACCTCCTCATATTCCTGCTTCCTCCTCTGAGTAAATAAAGTGTTCCACTGTCCACCTAGATGCAAAAATCTGAACATGATCTTTAACTGCTTCTTTCTCTGCACCTCTACATCCAATGGATCAACAAATCCTACAAAATATACTTCAAATCCATCCTCATTGCTCCTGACAACACCTCACCAACTCACCATGATCTTTCTCCTGGACTGTGATAAATGGCATTCTAGTAGGTCTCCCTGATTTCACTCTTGTTCACCCAGAAGCCATTCACTCTTCTCTTTTAAAACTCTCCCATGGATTCTCAAATAGACCCCAAAAGGCCTATATGAACAAAACTCTACATGATGTGGCTGCTAGTAACCGCTCTAACCTTACCCCTCTCCTCCACATGGGCATTCTTGCTGTTCTGTGAACATACAAGACTCTCAGCTTTGAGTCTTGGTAATATCAGTGCCTCTTCCTAGAAGACTCTTTCCATGGCTCTTTCTTCACATGACTGATCCACTGTCATTCCTCCTCAGGACTCAGCTCAAATATCTCCTTTTCAGAGTCCTTCATTTTGTTTGCTTCCATCACAGCATCTATTTTATTTTACTTAACAATTTTTTTTTTTTTTTTGCAGTACTGGGGCTTGAACTCAGGGCCTACACCTTGAGCCACTCCACCAGCCCTTTTTGTGCTAAGTATTTTCGAAACAGGTCTTGTGACCTATTTGCCTGAGCTGGCTTCGAACCATTTCCACCTGATCTCTGCCTCCTGAGTAGCGAGGATTACAGGTGTCAACCACCGGCACCTGGCTTAACAATTTTTTTTAAGAGATGGGGGTCTTGCTATGCTGCCCAGGCTGAACTGGAACTACTGGGCTCATGCAATCCTCCTACCTCGGTTTCCTAGAGCATTTATTTTAATCTGTAATGATCTTGACTATTTGTTGGTTTACATTTGCAAACCACACAACAAAGACAACCAGCTCTTCATCTATCTTGTTCCACCTCCTTATCATCCCAGCACCAACCACAATGACTGACATATTAGTAGTCATTGAGCAAGTATCTATAAATAAACACTGTCCAGTACTTTTCTAAAAAAAAAACACATTTCTGACTAAAGAAAGGACAGACATCTCATTAGTTCAGAATTCAGGGCAGAAAATGCTATACATGGAAATTCATAATAAAGGAAAGTCCTGTGTGTGAAGAGGAGACCCACAGACTGTATTTTCTCCATCCACTTGAAGGACTTAAATGTGCAGTGTCTGACAAAAGGGCAAAGTCAGCCCCTATTCTTACCATTTCTGTATACTCCATCTGCTCCCCCTCATTGTACAGCTCTGGCGGGAGGTTGTAAATCCTCAAGATGTTATCTGCACTATTGGTCAAGATGCAGGAACCATCAGGGGCCCTAGAAACACAGCAAAAAATTAAGAAACTGGACAGACCTATGCCTTCCCAGTGTAGGGTCAGGGATATTTTTGAAAATATGGTTCGTAAGCCCCTGAATTCTTAAGGGAAGCTAAAAAGTCCTAGCTAAAACTTGAGCTCATGACTAGCATGGGAGTGCATGCCTGTTACCCCAGCTACTTTTGAACCACAGTTCAAGATCAGCCTGGGCAACTTAGCCAGTCTCTGTCTGGAGAATAAAGTAAAAAAGAGTTGAAGCTGTAGCTCAGTGGCAGGAAGCTTTGCTTGCCTACCACCTAGGGCCAGACCCTAGGTTCAATCCCCAGTACCAAAAGAAAAATCTTGAACAGTCCTCTTAGGGATTCCTCCGCCCACCTCTCTCTAGTAGATCCTTTCCTCAAATAAGTGTGGGAGGTTGCTTTTGTTTTTTCATACAGTGTCTCACTATGGAGTCAAGTCCAAGAGAAAGATCATGGTGAGTTGGTGAGGCGTTGTCAGGAGAGATGAGGCCTTGAACTCACTATCCTCCCGCTTCAGTTTCCAAAGTGCTGGGATTACAGGCGTGCACCATAACAGTCAGCCAGGTAAGTAGATGTTTTAAGGTGAAAATTCTGGGGGTGGTCATCTTCCTGCCCCATTGTACTTACTTACCACTTACAGCCTTTCAAGAAGTTTTCAGGTTGGGCGCTGAACTCGGACCAGGAGCCACTGAGAAATCGAGGTAACTGGGAGAAGCTATAGTTCCAAATGCTGAAAGATGGAGAAACAACAAACGTGGGTCTCCAGAGCAAAGAAGAAATGGGCCTGGCGAAGTGGGGCTGAGGAATGATGGATAAGGTCTCTCTCACTTCCACTCTCAGATTCCAGGGTCAACTTGACACTTACGTGTCTCCCTCATCGTCGAGAGCGGGTTCCTCAGACACACCTTCCATGGCTTCTCCAGACTCCAACTCTGGCCCGTTCGTTTCTTCTGCAAGAAGGCTCGCATTTTCAGAAAGTTCTTGCTCCTCGATTCGAGGAGCATTAAACTCGGCTTCCAGGGGAGTGGAGAGAGGAGCTGGGTTCCCCTCCCCTAACCCTTCGGACACAGTTAAGGCAGAAACAGAATCTGAGGACATCCGGGACTGGTTATCCCATCTGATGGAGGTGGCATCAATTCAGGGTCTGCATTTTTATCCATCGGGGAAGCCTGGGGAGAGAGATGCGCTGGAGCCGCAGCCTGGTTTGAAGAGAGGCTGTCCGGAACTAAGAGCCGCTCCTCCGACATCTTCATACTCCACTGCAAACATTGGCCTCGGTCCGACAACCCTCTTTCCCGGTGAGAACCTCTTCAAAGTTCTCAGGGATCCGGACGCAAAACAGAAGAGCATCCCCCGCCCCCCCAACCCCCACCCCGTGCCTTCCTTCCTCTTCCGGGAGGAGGCAGAAGACCCCCGGGAGAAGAGACGGACACCGAAAGCGCTGCGTTTTTTAGCGCCTTGGGTTGCAGCGCTTGCTTGCTGTCGCGAGATTTAGACTCACCTTGCGATTGGACCTCCACATCAGGGATCAGATTTCGCGGGTGACCAACGGAGGGGCGGGGCGGGAAGTAAGTTGTGTGTTTGTGGTTCCCATCTTGCCTTAGAGCTCCTGATGGCTCTGGGAGTTGTAGTCCGAACGCTCTTCCATGGCGACAAATGCCCAAGCTCCCCCTACCGACTCCCACGGTAATTCTTTTTTTTTTTTTTTTTGGTACTGGGGTTTGAATTTAGGGCCTCGCGCTTGCTAGGCAGGCGTTTTACCACTTGAGGTCCCCCGCGGTAATTCATAAAGCCTCTACCTTCCTTAGCCTGCAGAGGGTGCTCGATTATTTTTATATGTTTTGCACCTCTTTTGTATCTAACTCGCCAAATTCCTCATTCGTTCAACAAACATTTATTATCAAGCTCTTATTTCCTACCCAACACTGTACGAGACATTAGGGAATATGACAGTGAATAAGATAGTTTTGAAGTTCTCTACCTTCATAAGATTTTCGTTGCAATGCATGAACAAATACATCTTTTCAGGTAATAATAAAGGCTGTGCAGGAAATTAAACAAGATGGTGTGATATAAAGTACAGGGGAACACGTCAGCTTGAGATACTAAGGAAAGCCATATCGCTTCTTGGCCTTTTTGGCTAAGATGAAGTGGTGATATTTAGGTGTCACCTAAAAGGTGACAATTTAGCTAATGAGAAGAAACTATTGAATTATATATGAAAGAGCAGTGTTCCAGTCCGAATGAACGGCAAACCCAATAGCTTTCTTCAGTCCTCCAAAATGGTTTCCACCAATTCTGCCCTTAACCGCTCAGGTTTATAGCCTCCCACTCCAAAACAAGTATCCTGACTCTCTCCGCACCCTCCTTTCTAAACTCTGTTTTTTTTTGGCCGCTGCCAGCAGGCGAAAAAACTTGCCCTTACTTGTCATGGCGACTATCCAGCTTTGTGCCAGGAGCCTCGCGGGGGTTGCTGGGATTGGGATTTTCCCCTCCCATGTGCTCAGACTGGCGCTAAAAGTTTTGAGCTCCTCAAAAGTCCATAGCCACCATTGTGGGTGCAGGTAGCTTCTGGGCTCTGTGAGCACCTGGTGTCCATGTTCAGGGTGTGATTCCTTGGACGGTGACACGCTTCCTTGAGAACCAGGTAAGGTTTTGACTGAGCCTGATGAGTCCTCTCTGAGTCACGGGATCTCGGCTCCGTATATTTGCAGCTCGGGAGAACTGCGGGGTTTGGGGTGGGGATTTAGAGAGTTGGGGGCGGGGGATGGAAACTTAGGTTGCGGGATCAACACAGGAATGCAATGTTGAGAGGACTGGATATAGATGACGGGGACGTTAGGATTAGCTAGACCCAAAGCTGAGCACCTGGGCAGGGGATTGGGACTTTGGGGAGCCTTGAGCCCGCGTTGAGAGGAATTCCTCCCACCACCATGCACACCTACCTACCGAGTGATGGGTGATGGAAGTCCCTGACATAGCATGCATTGAGAACAGCTCTAGGGCCTGAGACTTTCGGTACTCATGACTCGAGATTTGAGCCATGGTATCCTACTGAAATCTTGGGCTCCCATTCCGAAATTAATTGGGGGTTAATGAGCTCTAGCTACTAAGGTCCCACAACTTCCGGACCTTTGTCCTTCCTGGAGTGATCTTTCCAGCTTGCCCCGGCTCCACTAGCTGGAGAAAAATCCAAGTAAAGACTGTCAGCGGTGCAGGTAGGAAATGCTAAACCAGAGGTTTGCCTGCGAGACCTGGCAGTACCAATCCGGGTCTAAGAGGCCCGGCAGCCCTGTTATTGTTTGTCTCCACATTTACATTTCTGCCGCTTGTGGTAGCTTTTCCGGTTTCTTTTTCTCGGAGCAGCTCACTGTTCACCCGTGAAGAGGGGAATAGAAAGAGAAAATACATATTTTAAGCTGGTTCCCATTGTATCCAGAGAGAGACTGCTATACCCTCTCCCGTTTTCTTTTTCCGGATTACTATGTTAATTGTTTTTGCAAAGGAAAAGGTGCTTGTTTTGATACAAACCTCAGTCCCTCCCCCTCTTTGAATGGTGTACTCCACCCCCGTCATCTTGATAGCTAGGCGGACGCTACCATTGCGTGGAACAAGGTGTGGGAGGGGGGCGTGCAGGAAGCTAAGCTTTGGTATTTTTGAAAACGAGTACATTAGGGAATCAAACTTTGAAAGAGTACAATGACAGATCGTTTGTTTGTGTCTGAAAAAACAATCTACCTAGTATCCGGTTTTGTGCTAAGCCATTGCAATTGTGGACGCAGACCGAACGTCCTGAAAGCGGAAGGGGCGGGCCTTGGGGATGGGCGCCCCGAGGTCCTAAATTCAGCCATCCGGTCCAGACCAGTTCTTCCCTGTGGGGGGGCGGTGGTACACCCGCCTAGTGTACCTTTCGCCGGCGTCTTGGTTTTTTAGGGCATGTACTCTTTCCGCGCTTGATCACGCACCTGCTATAGACCGGACGCTGTGCCCCCCATTTCTGTGCTTATCTTTTTTTCTAACTAGAGATAGCGTCCTCACACAGCACTGTAGGAGAGTTTTAGAACTCTTGTTCCTTGGAAGGTTCAATAATTTTAGTCAACGAAATGAACAATGGACCCAAAAGGGAAAGAATTAACAAACTGTATTGCATAGCTGCAGGAGCCACACAGATGTAGTATGAAATTCAAAGACGGACTAGATCAAGTTTATGTAGAGCTAAACAAAGGGCTAAAGGCTTTGGGCTTTTGAGGAGGAAGAAAAGGGGCTCAGGCTGTGGAGAGTAGAGCCAGGAGGTGCCCCGCCAGTAAGGGTTGTCTTGTTACGTGAATAAAATCTCCCAGGTAACTGGCATTTGAATCTGAGTAGGTATCAGAATACTAGTCTCTTGCAAAACAGAAGGGGACACCTGACAGATGCCTTTATCTGCGTTCACTATTTGCAAGTGAAACCATCTCTGGGTTACTTATACTTAATATAGTGTAAATGGTAGATGAATAGTTACACTGTATTGTTGAGGGGGGAGAGATACGTTCTTTACAGACAGCACTAAATAGCACACAGCAACAAGGTAACTTTTTCAAATACAGAAAACTAACAAAATTTGCAGGCATTAACAAATTTTAGCAAATCAAACCAGACAGTATATAAGGATAAATATATCCTGGCCAAGTGTGGTTTATCTCGGGATTGCAAAAATCAATCTGTGTAATTCACCGCAGTCAGGCTGAGAGGTTGAAGTCTTTCTAGACACATCTCCAGTCAGTTTTGCTGTGGTTATTTTGGAGATGGGGTCTGGCGAACTAGCTTCCTATTATTTGAACATGCAGAAAAAGCAGTTGACAAAATCATCTATTCCTGATTTGAAACAAGCCTCATTCATTGCAAACTAGGGAAGGGAAACTTCCTTGGTCTAATAAAAAGGTGTCCACAAGGTGGGTGTGGTGATTCGTGTTTGTAATCCCAGCACCCTGAAGGCTGAGAATGAGAATTTGAGGCCAACAGGGCACCTGTTGCTCATGTCTGTAATTCTAGCTACTCAGGAAGATCTCTGTTTGAAGCCAGCCTGGGCAAATAGCTCAAGAGACCCTGTCTTGGAAAAACCCTTCACAAAAAAGGGTTGTTGGAGTGGCTCAAGGGGTAGGCCCTGAGTTCAAGCCCCAGTACAGCAAAAAAAAAAAAAAGTGAAGCCAGCCAGGGCCACATGATTACAGTCTCGTCTCAAAAAATTTTACTATAAAGCTATGGTAGAACATAAGAACCAATTAGCAGAATGTCACCGGATGAGGGGGTTCCCTAAGCTTCCCAGTTTCCATGCAACATCACAGGCACTTGAGATCCATGGTAAAAGCATGTCAAGGACAAAGCAGTTGGAAAGTGGGAGGAAGCGAAGAGGAACATTTCCTGCTCCCCATTCAGGAAATGGGAGTAAAGACAGTACAGTACTTCTTATTTGTGGTCTTTATACTCTCTGAGGTGGAGAATACACATGGCCATGTCATTTAGCAGTCACCAATCATTAGACAATGGTTCTGAATGGCTAAGATGGGTGCTGTGTGTTATTTTAAAATACGGAGGTGTGATCTAGGGCTATCCAAAACACAGGAATGATAGGTGGCTTTTAGGACCGAGATGCTTGTCATTCTGTTTGTATCCCTTCAAGAAGCCCTATAGCCTCTTAATATGTCAAAGGAGAAGGCAGGTGCCCTACTATGTCTCTCTCTCCTTATAACTGAGCAACTAAAGGAGGGGAGGGGAGCTGAGTCTGGCCCTTTTAATATTTATTAGTTTTAATTTCCCTGTCTCCTCATCTGTCTGTCCTGCCTTAAGAATAGAATCCAGAAAAAGATAAATGTAGCCAAATGATTTTCCACCAAGACACTAAGGTGACTTGGTGAGGAGAGACTGAGGTAAGAGGAATTGACTTTGACCCCTGTTTTACAAAGTACACAACAATTAGAAATTGACAGTAGACCTAAACATTAAACTGAAAGTTTCAGAAGAGAGCACAACACAGCCCATGTCTTTCTTTGCTTTTTGTTTTTTCTTCTTTTACTGACAGGATCAACCAAGTATCTTTTTCTTTCTCAACCAGTCAGAGTGGGTTACATGGCTATTTCAAAATTTGTCAACATATGGGAATTTTTTTTAATACTGATATTGCGCTTTTTTTTTTTTTTTTTTTTTCTTTTTTGTGGTGATGCTGGGTTTTGAACTCAGGGATTCACGCTTGCAAAGCAGGTGCTCTAGCACTGGAGCCACATTTCCAGCCTACATAACAGAATTTTATCTCAAATTTTGTGGAAGACTGGTTAGGAGTATAAGTGAAGCGATAGTGGATACCTTCACTTTTTTTAAATTTTTATTTACTTGTTTATTTATTTTTGGTAATACTGGGTTTGAACTCAGGGCCTAGAGCTTCCTAGCCATGTGCTCTACTACTTGAGCCATGCCCCTAGTAGGCTGTAAACTGAGTGTAGGTTCAGACAGCCTGTGTTCCTATTCCTGCCCCTTGAGAGTCCTAAGTAGCTAACAGCTCAAGTGGTAGAGCACCTGCTTTGCCCTGAGTTCAAACCCCAGTACCACAAAAAAAAAAAAAAAAAGAAAAGAGCTCAGGAAAATGACTTAATTCCTTTAACTCTCCCATCCCTCATCTGTTAATACTTAACTTTCCTGGCTTTCTAGGAGGCTTAAATGAGATAAGCCACTGAAAGCAATGGACCTGGAGGGCCTACAACGGCTGCATTGTTAAGCCCCTCCTTGGAAGTCTCAGCTGAGTTTATTACCTTCCCAGACAGCATTTCCTTAAACATGCACTTCCCTACTGAAAACAGCTTGACACGTTTGTATCATGGCCTCCTGGTGCTGGTACTTCTGAGAAGGACCTGCTCTGAAAAGGGTTTCTAGTTGTGACTCTGTTCTCTTTAGGGAACCATTGTAAACGTAACTTCAAGACCTGAATGATGCGGTAATAGAACAGGGAGAGCTATGGCTGTGGGGGGGCTGTCTCCCCAAAGGGAATTGAGACCTTGAGCCAACATTCCAGGATAAGCATACCTTCCCTGCATAGAGTTCCCAAGGAGTGAACTTGAATTAGTGGGGCAGGAGACCCCACAAAAGCTACACTACCTCACAGTTACACAATTTTCTCTAGGATAACAGAACAAAAATAGGGCAGTTAAGGGCTGGTGGGTGACTCAAGTGGTAGAACACCTGCCTAGCTGCCAAGAAATATATGTATTTTTATATTATATATATATATATCAATTACATTAATGTTTATAGGGCTCTTATTATATACCAAGCATTTCTCAGCTTATGTGTGTATTGAGGGTGATCCATGGCATGCTAGGAAAATGTTTTCCCACTGAGCCCCAGCCTCAAAAATCAATTAAAGAAGCAGAGAGGGTACATTTAAGTAATAGTACAATGTCAAACCCAGGGCTTTTGACTTCTGAGCTTCCTCGCATAAAAGTCCCCTTTGGGTCATTAGTGTAGTGGAGGACTGGTCCTTCCCTTTCTTTCCTCTATTCTTGTGCATAGCCATGCCCTACTCAGCATTGAGAGGTTGTGATATCTGATGCCCTCGCTCTCATTTGGAGAACTTTCATCAGCTAAGGTCTGCCTTACTAATGACAAAAGAGAACTTTTCAGAGCAGTCTGTGGGGGAGTAGACATCTTACTCCTTGTTGGTTTTTTGGTGATTGTTCCTTTGCTTTCTGTCTATTTCAATTTAAGGCCTTATGCTTGATAGGTACAGGACCTCTACCACTTGTGCCATGCACCCAGCCCTTTTTTTAATTTTTTAAGACAGTGTCTCACTTTGTAGCCTAGGCTGACCTCAAACTCATGATTCTCCTGCCCCAGCCTTATCGGTGCTGGGATTACAGGTGTACACCACCATGCCTGGCTCTAATGGCCATTTTTTATTTAAAAAAAAAAATTCACTCACCTCCTGAGTATCCATGGTCACTTAATCTCACAGCCTGTCAAGTTGGTGGGTGTGGTTATCAAGACAAATAAGATAATTCTTGTGGATGAATTTTTGCAAACTCTTAAATCCGTAAGAAAGCTCTCTGTCAACATAAAGATGAAAATAAATATTAAGGAAGACTAGAGGCGGCCATTAATGGAGCTGATTGTTTTGGGAATGTTTGTCATTACAAGATATAAAAGTGTAGTGGGCCAGGGATGTGGCCCAGTGGTAGACAGCTTGCCTAGATCTCCATGTGAGGCCCTGGGTGCAATGTCCAGCACCACAAAACAACAAAGAAAAATGTCGTGAACATTTATAGTGGGTTGTTTCTTACCAAGCTGATGGCAGGTTTGGCATCAAGAAAGAAAACTTGGTAGAGCCATTTGAAAGCTGGTTGGGGAGAAGGTGAAGTGATAGCTGCATAGCTTCATTCATGCAAGATTCTGGCCCAACAAGAGCTGCCCCTCTCCCCTTGCCCCCTTGGCCACTCACAAAAGCCTCATAGCCTGAGCACAATGTTTCACTGTCTTACTGCTTATACCATGGTAAGCAAGAAAGATCGCTTTCCTGCACTGAGGAAGATTATATTCTGTTAGGGAAAACTGATGAAATAAACAAGTACTCCATGATACTACGTGCTGACAGAGTTTGGCTGGCTGTGCCTAAGCAGTCTGGGGTATCATCCCTAAGATGTAACACACAAGATGAGATCTATGGGAAGGAGTCTTACCACAGAGACATAGGCGGAATAGAGACAGGAATGGGGCACTCCCGTGGAGGGAACATCCGTTGATGGAGCAGTGAAGGGCAGACAGGCTACCTAGAGCCCCCAGGAAAGGCAAGAGAGTGATGGGTAGGAGATGAAATCAGAATTGTGGGGAGAGCTGGGTGCCTGGTGATTCATGCCTATAATCCTAGCCACTTGGGAGGCTGAGATCAGAAGGATCTCGGTTTGAGGCCAGCCCAGAAAAATGTTTCTCCAAGTCCCCGTCTCCCAAATAACCAAAGCAAAATGGACTAGAATTGTGGCTCGAGTTGTAGAGCACCTGCTTTGCAAGTGTGAAGCCCTGAGTTCAAACCCCAGTTCCACCAGAAGTAAATAGATAAATAAAATAAAGTGGTAGGGAGAGGCCAGGTTACCATAGATTAGAAAAGAGGGATGAGGAGCAGTCTTGAGGGAATGGGTGGGGGAGAAGTGAGCAGTCATTCTTCAAGATTTGCAGTGAAGGATCCAAGAAATGGAGCCATGTGTCAGACAGGAAACACGAGGGTCAAGGGATCCTTCTCCATATAGAGGGAGTGGGCTGAGAGCTACTGACTGCATCCTCATTAGCAAGAAGGAAAGGCAGAAGTAGGGTGCAAATTTTAGAGGACTGCTGGGGAAGTTGGAAGCCCTTCTGGTTGTCTTCCTTCAAGAAGTATGGGTCTGGCATATGGCTCAAGTGGTAGAGCACCTGGCCTGAGTTCAAATGCCAGTACTGCAAAAAAAAGAATACGTGGCTGGAAAGTCTGGTGAGGGTTGAGGCAGTAACAGCCTAGAGGAGTTATTCTGTTCCTGATTCCTGGGAAGTCATACTGGTACTGGACTGTACCGGTCCCCAGGCTGGATCTCGGGGTCAGATGTGTCTAATTCCTTGTCCTCACTTATCTCCTCCTAGCCGCCAGACTCTCTTCCTGGTTACTGCCATGGAGGAATCACAGTCAGAGCTCAGCATTGAGCCTCCTCTGAGTCAGGAGACGTTTTCCGACTTCTGGAAATTGTGAGTGAATCCTGTGATAAGGGTTAGGCCTGCTGCCACCCTGGGTACCCTGCTGAAGTACCCTTCCATTCCTGCCCTGCCCAGCCCATTTCCCCACCCCCTCTCCCCCCAACAGAGGCCTGTGAGAAACAAAAACTTAGTAGTACTGACTCTGTGCTCTTGTTTTTTCAGACTTCCTGAAAACAACCTTCTGGTAAGGACTGGGATGGGAAGGAACCCAGGACTTGTTAGGCTGGGAACACACTTTGAGACTCTTACTTTCTCCCACCCACAGTCCACCTCATCATCACCTCCCATGGATGATCTGCTGTTCCCAGATGAGGTTGCAAACTGGTTAGAAGGCCAGGACGAGACCCTGCAAATTTTAGCAGCTCCTGTCTCAAAGGCCCCTGCACCAGAGGTCCCAGCACCAGAGGTCCCTGTACCTGAGGTTCCTGCACCAGCGGCCCCTGCACCAGTCACCTCCTGGCCCCTGTCATCCTCTGTCCCTTCCCAAAAAACCTACCAAGGCAGCTATGGTTTCCGTCTGGGCTTCCTGCATTCAGGGACAGCCAAGTCTGTCACATGCACGGTTAGTAGCCCTGAAGAGCTGGCTGGCCATATCCCCCTGGGTTTTTTTTGTCTTCAGCCTTTGATTTCTTGTCCATCTATTTACATTTTACACATTCAGTTTGAGAACTCTGTCCTCTGTTCCGAAGTTTGAATTCCTCCCCTCCCCCCACCAACCTTTTCTTAGTCTGCAGGAAGAATTTTGAGTTAACTGGTTTTTCTGTTTTTGGTGGTACTGGGGTTTGAACTCAGGCCTTTGTACTTAGTAGGCAGGTGCTCTGCCCCTTGAACCATACCTTCAACTTAGAATTTCCCTCCGTTAAACTAGGCTTTCTTCCTTCCCATCCTACTCTTAGCATTTCTCCACAGGGCATGGAACTTTTTCTTCCCTCACATTCATTTATTGGCTTTTGAAAATAAGCTGGTGAAGCCAGCATAGTGGCACACACTTGTAGTCAGGAGGCTGAAGCAAGAAGATTGCTTGAACCAAGGTATTTGAGGCCAGCCTAGGCAACATAGCAAGATCTTCTCCCCCACCCCACCCCCAAAAAAAAAAAACGGCAGGTGGTGTTGTGGTATACATCTGTAATCCCAGCTTTGGAGAAAGTAGGAGGATCACAAGTTTGAGCCCAGCCTAGGCTACATAGTGAGTTCAGCTATACGGGAAAACACAATAGAAATATGGTGGCCCAGGCCAGCCTGAGTGTAAAGCAAGACCTTATCTCAAAAACAGCCAAAGCATGTCGGTAGAGTGGCTCAAGTGGTAGAGTGCCTGCCTAGCAAGGGTGAGGCCCTGAGTTCAAATCCTAGTACCACTCAAAAAAAATAGAGAATGCAAAAAGGGACAGGGGTGTGGTTGAAGTTGTAGAGCACTTGCCAAGGTCCCTGAATTCAATCCCCAGTACCACTCAAAAAGGAAAAAAAAAATCAAATTCTGGCATGCAGACCTCAACACCATCTCTAGCTGCCTTTTGCCAAGGTCCCTGTCATTGCAGTGACAGGGTTGTTCAAGCAGTGTTTTTATTCACTGGGGACCCCACCCCTCTCACCTTCTTCCCTTTTTTGTTTGTTGGCTTGTTCCCCAGACCCTCAATTCTATCTCCTTCCGTCTGCCACAGTACTCCCCCTCCCTGAACAAGCTTTTCTGCCAACTGGCAAAGACCTGCCCTGTCCAGCTGTGGGTGGACTCAACACCCCCACCTGGCACCCGCGTTCGTGCCATGGCTATCTACAAGAAGTCACAACACATGACAGAAGTCGTGAGGCGCTGCCCCCACCATGAGCGCTGCTCCGATAGTGATGGTGAGCACTCAGGCTGGAGAGTGGACAGAGCTGACTGTCCAGGGTCTCCAAGCCTCTAATTTGTCACTGATCACTCTTAGGGTTGGCACCTCCCCAGCATCTCATCCGAGTGGAAGGAAATTTGCGGGCGGAGTATTTGGATGACACCCACACTTTTCGACACAGCGTAGTGGTGCCTTATGAACCACCTGAGGTTTGGTGTGGGTCTCTGGGGGGAGGATTCTGGAAAGGGTTGTCAGTGACCACCCAGGTGGGAGGTAAGGGGCTTTCTTCTGCTCCTGTGGGTGTGTGTTGCTGGGGATTGAACCTAGGGCCTCAAGCATGCTAGGCAAGTAGTCTACCACTGAGCCACACCCCCAGGCCACCTGCGTCTTACTTGATGCCTCCACAACCCTGTGAGGTATGCAAAGCAGATGGGGTTACCCCACTCCACCTAAAGCTTCCAGAAGCTGCTAGCTTCACCTAGGGCTTATGTCCTTTTGTAGGTTGGCTCTGACTGTACCACCATCCACTACAACTTCATGTGCAACAGCTCTTGCATGGGGGGCATGAATCGGCGGCCCATCCTCACCATCATCACACTGGAAGACTCCAAGTAAGGAGCCATGTGCCACACTGGTATTCTCCCCAGCCTCTGCCTGTCGCCTGGGCTCCAGCCACATAAATGGGATCTCCTCTGTTGTTCCCTCTCTGGCTTTGGGACCTGTCTTAGCTTTGACTTCTCCTCAGTGGCCCTCAAACTAGAGTTTAGACTCTGGACAGGACTAGGGTTGTGGTGAGTGGATGGGACCTGGTTACAGACCAGGACAGGTAGGGCCCAACTTCCTTAATGACTCCTGCTTCTCTTGTCTGGGTAGTGGTAACCTGTTGGGTCGGAATAGCTTCGAGGTGCGTGTTTGTGCTTGTCCTGGGAGAGACCGCCGCACAGAGGAAGAAAATTTCCGCAAAAAAGGGGAGCCTTGCCCTGAGCCACCCCTGGGGGGCACTAAGCGAGGTAAGCAGGCAGGACAAGAGGACGTAGAGGAGGAAGAGAGGGTGCAGCTCTGCCCCAAATTTACCCTTCTTGCTTTTCTTTGCCTCTTTCCCAGCACTGTCCTCTGGCACCAGCTCCTCTCCACAGCCAAAGAAGAAACCACTGGATGGTGACTATTTCACCCTTAAGGTACCAAGTCTGGGAGAGAGACATTATACATTTTCTTGCACGTTCAACAAGGATGGGATAAGGGAAGGAAGGATGTATCTAGTTTTTTCCTCTGTTCATGACCCTGACTCTTGGAAAGTTTATGTTATCAGATTGAAAGTTTTAAGTGTATCACTGAAAATGCTAGCTTCTTTTTGGCTCTTTTACCTAGAAATTAGGCCATTTGCCATCAGTTGAACAAGGTACCTCAGAGACAATGGCTTGTGTTGATACCTAACTAACTTGAGAATACTAACTTGTGCTCCTCCACTTAAGATGGGGTCATGTCCAGTAAGCTCATCATAAGTTAGAAGACAAAAGTGCACTTAGACCAAGCACTGGAAGCCCATACCTATAATCCTGGCTGTTAGGGAGGTTGAGATCGGGAGGATCTGTCACAGTTTGAAGTTGACCTGGGCAAATAGTTCGTGAGACCCCATCTCCAAACTGTCTGGAGCAAAATGGACTGGAGGCGTGGCTTAAGCAGTAGAGTGCCTGCTTTGCATGTGTGAAGCCCTGAGTTGACACTCCAGTACTACCCCCCACCTCAAAGGGCGGGGGGAAGTGCACTTAGCACTACGGGTGGTGTACCTCAGTGGTAGAGCACTTAACTAGCATGCTCCAGGTCCTAGGTTTGATTCTTAGCACCACCAAAACAAAGTCATTTAATTCACCTAACCTACCAAACACCACGGCTTAGCAACACGGTGCACTGTAAGGTGTCAATTGTTCCCCCTCATGATTGTGTAGCTGATTGGGAGCTGTGGCTTGCTGCCACTGCCCAGCATCAAGAGAGCATCCTACTACATATCACTAACTGGGAAAGATCCAAATTCGATGTACGCTTTCTACTGAATACCTGTCGCTTTCACACCATCATAAAGTTAAAAAAATCGTAAGTCAAACCATAACTTGGGTACCATCCATATATTTGAAGAACTACCTTTCGTAAAGGAAATTGATAAAAGAGCATGAAAATTGTTTTGTGACTGCCCAATATTTCTTTCCCACTCTACCCTTGCTGCAGATCCGTGGGCGTGAGCGCTTTGAGATGTTCCGTATGCTGAATGAGGCCTTGGAATTCAAGGATAACCAGAATGAAAAGGAGCCAGGGGAGAGCAGAGCTCACTCCAGGTGAGTGATCTGGTCCCACTTCCAGCCCTGCACACCTGCCTTCCTGGTAAAAGGCAGTAGAACGAACCATCTATTAGGTGCTATACCTGCTCAGTGATCCTTAGTGTTCTACCAGTCATATCAGACAAGCACTTCTCTTCCCTCAAGGTCTGCAGACTCCAAAGATGAGTGTGGATACTTCAGCATTTGAGGTCTTGTATGATCTTGTTACTCCCCCTCTCAGGTTGTTTCTTCTTTATAAACTGGAGTAAGGAGCTGGGCACTAGTGACTCATGCCTGTGATCCTAGCTACTTGGGAGGCTGAGATCAGGAGAATGGTGATTTGAGGCCAGCCCAGGCAAATAGTTCACAAGACCCCCCACATCCAAAATAACCAGAGCAAAATGTACTGTGTACTTGAGCCAAAATGTACTGTGGCTCAAGCGGTAGAGCCTCAGTTCAAACTTCAGTCCCACCAAAAAAAATTAAATAAAATGGAGTAAGAGAATATAAAGAGATTGATAGAAATGAGTGCCCCAAGATATTCCTTGAATATAAATTCCCTTAACTTGTTCCAGTCTTAGAGCCTTCCAAGCCTTGATAGACGTGCCCAGACCTGTCTAATCATATCTCCTCTCTTCTGTCTCTTCTTTAGCTACCTGAAGTCCAAGAAGGGCCAGTCTACCTCCCATCATAAAAAACTAATGTTTAAGAGAGAGGGTCCTGACTCAGACTGACATCCTGTGCTTCCTGGACATCCTCCCCATCGCCTACTGTCCCCAGCGACAGCACCCTACTTCCCCTGTCCTCCTTCCCTGGGACTCAGGTGTTTAAACACCTACTTGGCATAGGTGTGCCTCAGAAATACCCAGAACCAAGAACTCTGCCATTTGCCTTGGCCTGGGGTTCCACACAAGAAGTTGACCTACACTGGTGTTTGGGGGATGGCAGTGGGAGCTAGGATCCACCAGCTTAGCTTTTAAGGTTTTGACTGTGAGGAGTGTTAAGAGAGAAGAACAAGTTCTTGCATGTGCTGGGTTGGAAACCCAGTTCTCCAACAGAACTAAGCAGGATTTCTCCTACCTTGAATACCCACATCTATGAAATACTGGTAATCATACCTACCTCACAGGGTTTGTTGTGAGCGTTAATGAAATAACATACGTTTGGCCTTGAACCACCTGAAGCTATCACATACTGGCTGGGACTTGGCCCCCTTGTGGGTACTGGTTCCCTGCCCCTGTTGGGGGATGGGTTGATGGTTTCCAAGACTGAGCAACTAGTTAAGAGAAAGAAGTTGCCAAGTCTCCATTGGCCGAGCCAAATCCTGTCCAGCCTCTTGTTGAACCTTGGCAATAAGATCATACCCTTGGAGGATTCTATCCTGTGCTCATTTAGGGTCCATACCCACCAAGACCTATTTTACTTTCCCCACATGCTCAGGGTCAATTTCTCTTGTATTCTGTAAGGCACAACTGAATTTGTTACCCCTAGCCCTTCTCCCTTTTCATACCTCCTTTTTATATATTGGTTTGTTATTTTACAATAAAACTTTGCTACCACCTGTGTGTTTGAGGAATGGGTGTTGATGTTGGCTTGATCCCCAGGTGCAGGGGTGAGTAAGGAGGTGAAGTTGGGAGGCAGCCACTGAGTCTCCAGGCTGGGGGGTTTGGGGAACAGTGCCTGTGTTCCAGGAGGAGAACAAAGGCTGGGGACTGGGTCAGTCTGTGGGCTGCATGACAACAAGGGAGAGGGGTGATTCCATTCATAACTCAGGAACCAACTGTCCCTCCTGCCAGGGCTGGCACAGTTCTTGCCCACTCCTGCTTCTAGCATTGGGCTGCTCTCCCCTGGGCAGCCTCTCACCAAGGATTATGGGATTTAAATGTCTTGATTTAGCAAGCCTGAGCCTCCAGGATAGCCATCTGCTCTACAGGAAAGGGTTAGGGTACCTGGGTCTCGAGGGGAGGGAGGTGAGTGCTACTGGATGAAAAAAGGTGGGAAGCCTGCCAGCTAGGGTCCCAGGAAACTGGGGGCAGCTAAGGTGAGGATTGGGACCTTCCCAGCATCCCCACATCCTGGGCCTCATGCCAGGAGGTTGAATGAATTGAAGCTTTACACTCTGCCAGGAAAACCTTTGAAAGAGCTTCTTGGGGTAGGAAGGAGAGTATAGGTTCAGGAACCCAGCACCCTCTGCCCACCCTGTTTCTCAGTCTGCCGTCTTTCAGGTTGGGGGGAGGGGGGCAGCCTGGGGCCAGGCTCTCCCCATCGCCTGCTGCTATCTGAGCCAGTGCCAGCAGGGACCAGCCCATGGTTTGGCCTCATCTCCCTGATGGTGGAGCTAAGAGTACTAAGGTCCAAAAGGACACTGGGGCCACTGCCCTCGTCCTGTCAACCAGGCTTAAAGTGCCAGTGGGACCCTTTGCCTTGCTCGAAGGGTCCCAGACAGCCAGGAAGGTACTAAGCCCCCTGGCCTCAAGATCATGGTTTTTCCTAGCTTATTGTGGAATGCCATAATAGAGGGACTGGGGTCTACCTTTTCTAGGCTAATTTTTGTCTTGATGTTTTTGTGGTGCTGAGGATCAAACCCGGAGCCTTGCACATGCTAGGCACTGACCTATAGATAGGCTCCTAATTTAGTCATTCTTCCCACCATCGGGCAAACCAGCATCTTATAACTGTCCTCACTCCTCACTCCTATGTACAGGACACTGCGAAGCTCCCTTTTTATTTTTTCTGTTTTGTTGTGGCATAACAATCCCCCAGAGAATGGTATTCAGTGGCCACGAATTCAGTTCCAGCCTGGGCAATATAAGACCCCTGTCCCAATAAATAAATATTGTAATGACTCTCTTAATCACCATCACCATTTCCAAGATTCTATTAAACAGAAAAGCTGCTCCCTCAATTTTAGAGACAAGACTTCACTAAGTAGCCCAGGCTGGACTCAAATACACGTTCCTGAGTACTGGAATTACAGGTATGTACTACCATGCTGGCTGAAAATCTGCCTTTTGTGCTAGGAACCTACCACCTCTTTACCTTTCCCTAGATTTTGGTCTTCATTCTGTTTTACTGCTGTACTCTTCAAAAAACTGATCCATTCTGGTGACAGTCCCTTTGTGGTCACTACAACGAGAATATCAAGACTTGGACTTCTAGGCCAGCTCATAGAAGAGCTAAACCTCTTGAGGTCCCACTTACTGGCTTTATAACTGGTTGCAGTCAATCAAGTCATTCCTACATCTGATTCTGGAGTTCACAGGTGTCTTAACTCTACCAAGCATTCAGAACCTTTGGCAGATATGACCTCTGCCCAGCCCTTCCTTATCCCACTAAAGTCTGGAATCAAATATCCCAGTTATCTCGTGATTAATCCAGGTTTATCATTCACAACTCTTTTGGGGTTTTTTTTTTTTTGGTTTGGTTTGGTTTGGTTTTTGCAGTAATGGGGCTTGAACTCAAGACCTCATACTTGCTAGGCATGCGCTCTACCACTTGAGGCACTCCAGCCCAATTCACAACTTTTTATGTCTTTTTTTTTTCCTTTTTATGGAAGGTGAGAGAGGTGCTGAGGATTAAACCAAAGAATTTAAGCATGAAACACATGTGCCACTGAGGTAAACTCCCAACCTTCATCCTGAGTTTTTTGTTTTGTTGTATGGTACTGGGGTTTGAACTCAGAGCCTCATGCTTGCTAAGCAGGTGCTCTACCACTTGAGCCACACCCCCCAGCCCTCCCTCCTTCTGTTTAATTTAGAAAACTTTTCTAATTTCAGGAACACAGGGTCCCCAAATTTAAAAAGTCATACTCTGTGGAAGACATATGGTCTTAAATATTTTCATTATGAAAAAGAGAGCAAAGAAAGTTAGTATGCATCCTAAAATTAAAGATATAAATTACTGAAGTTTGGTTGAGGATAACTTCAGAAGCAGGAACTTTAAATATATATATTGAAAAACTATGGCAGGGCACCAGTGGCTCACGCCTGTAATCCTAGCTAGTCAGGAGACAGAGATCAGGAGGTTTGTGGTTCAAAGACAGCCCAGGCAAATAGTTAGCAAGATCCTATCTCAAAAATACACAATACAAAACACAGCTGGTAGAGTAGCTCAAGTGGAAGAGTGCCTGCCCTAGCAAGCACGAGGCCCTGAATTTAAACCCAGTACCACCAAAAGAAAAAGAGTAACTATAGACCTCAGTTGCAGAGCATTTGCTTGAAGTGACACACACCCGTAGTCTGAGGCAGGAGCATCCATTGAGTCCCGGAGTTTGAGACTGGCCTGGGCAACACAGTGAGACCCTATCTCAAAAAAAAAAGAAAGAAAAGAAAAACTTCTAGAGGCTATAGCTCAGTGATAAAGCATGTGCTTAGCTTGCTGGAGGTCCTAGGCTCCCTACTCAGCACCAAAAAAAAAAAAGTAATAATAATAAAAATAAAAACTGATACACAGGAGGCTGAGGCAAGAGGAACTCAATTTCAAAGCCGGTCTGGACTACATAGGGAGACCCTGTCTAAGGAAAAAATAAAAATTATTTTGGGCCATAGGAAAAGAGTGAACTCTTAATTCATTTAAAATCATATTGCAGGCTGACGGTGTAGCTCAATGGCAGAGTGCTTGCCTACCATGTGCAAGACCCTGGGTTCCAGCTTCAGTGTCTCAAATGAAAAAATTATGCTGACTTCATTAATATTAAAATCTTTTTAAGATTAAAAAAAAACAGGAACCAAATTAATTTTTATATAGAGAGGCAAAAATCTCTAAAATCTTACCAAATGCATTGCTGAATTTAGAAAATATTATGCTAACCAAGTAAGAGTTTCTTCCAGGGATACAGAGTTGGTTTAATAGCCCAATCTATCAACATAATTCATTATATTAGCAAATTAAGAAGAAAATTATATGATTATGCCAACAGATACTGAAAGGAATTTGATTAAATTTCAGCAGTCATTCCATTTTTTTAAGACTTTAATTAAAACAGTAACTAGACTGGTAGTAGAATACCAATAAGTCAATATTATTCAAAATAAACACTAAGATAATTTCAGTTCAATGAAAACTGCACAGGGATGGCTACTCACATTGGTTTTGGTGAACTCAAGAGGATCAAAAAAGAAAGTAAGTTACTGGTTAAAACACACAACTCTGCCTTTCTTTTTTCTTGAGGGGGGCGCCTAGGGATTGAACCCAGGGATTCACAAACGCCAAGCATAGACTTTACCACTAAGCTCTGCCTCTGGCCAAAGTTCTCATGAATTTATAGAGAGGAATAAGTGCCCAAGAATGTCAATAGTTGTTAAAAAAAAAATGGGGAGACGGGGCACAGGTGGCTCATGCCTATATAGTACTAGCTACTTGTGTGTGAGAGGCTGAGATTGGGAGGATCATAGTTCAAGGCCAGCCTGGAAAAATAGTTCATAAGACCCCATCTCCAAAATAACCAAAACAAAACGGACTGCAGATTTGGCTCAAGCAGTAGAGCACCTGCTTTACAAACTGAAGCCCTAAGTTGAAACCCCAAGTCCCATCAAAAAGTTTAGACATGTATGGGGACTGGATATACAGGTCATTAGCACAGCACACCAGATGTGTGCAAGGCCCTTCGGTCAATCCCCACCACTGCCAAAAGAAAGAAATGGAGGGTCTTATTGGTCTTGCCAGATACCAGAAACATAGTAGGAAACTCCTAGAATCAGATCATATGACAGCTTAGACAAGCTAAGAGAAGTAAGGAACAAACCCAGAAGTAGATCTTGGCATACAGGAACATTATTATATGGCTGAAGTTGGCATTTTGACTTAATAAGGATAAATCATAAGTTATTTTTTTAATTTCTGAAGTTGGCTACAACTAGAAAAATAAAACTGGGACGGGCAACGGTGGTTCATACATAGCTACTCATAAGGCAGAGATCAGTGTGAGGCCCTGAGTTCAAACCCCAGTGCCATCAAAAAGAACTGCCAGAGGAAGTAAATGTAAAACTTAAATAAAATTTAAAACCTGCACATACAGGCATGGCTCAAGTGGTAGAGTACCTGCCTGGTAAGCTCAAGGCCCCAAGTCCAAACCCCAGTACTGAAAAAACAGCTGAGTGCCAGTGGCTCACACCTGTAATCCTAACTACTTGGGAGGCAGAAATCAGGATTGCAGCTCGAAGCCAACCCTATCTCAAAAAAAAAAAAAAAAAATCACACACAAAAAAAAGAGGGTTGGTGGAGTGGCTCAAGATGTAGGCCCTGAGTTCAAACCTCAGTACTGGAAAAAAAAAAAAAAACTGAAAAATTTCTAGAAAGTACAAGTATATTGTACTGATTGAAAACTCAGAAATACAAAATAAGTAAGCATATTTAACAATATGAAAATCACAATCTGGGACTGGAAATGTGGCTTAATGGTAGAGCAATTGACTAGCATGTGTGAGGCCCTAGGTCCAATTCCCTGCGCTATGAAAGAAGAAGGGAGGAAAGAAGGAATGATGGATTGCTGGACACACCTGCAATCTGTTTTGTTTTGGGTTTTTTGGCAGTGCTGGGACTTGAATTCAGGGCCTCACCTTTAGGGGATACCTGAAGCACTCTGAAGATACAGATGAAGTAAATGTAAAAATTAAAATAAAACTTAAGGCCTGCAAAAAAGGGCTGCACCACTCAAACCACATCCCTAGTCACATAAACAAAAGATTGTTTAGTGGTCAAAGATCTCACAAAGTCAAGAATCAAACAATGGTTGGGAGAAATTTTGCAATGCAGAAAGTTTACGTTGGAATTGTCAAGGAGTTCTAACAAATTCACAAGGGGATAACAACCCTTTCTGAAAACAGGAAAACAAAGTAGTACACAATCATTAAAAATTAATTTGCTCTCTACCAGGTGAAATACTAACACATAGAATTTGAGTGGAAAAACAAGAGGCCCAAAGGTGTATGTACTCTGATCCTATTTTAGCATAACCAAAACCCAGGCATCTTTATTTATAGGATAATGTATCTATTATACATTCATGACAAAATTGTACTTGCATATATAAAAGTTATTTTTCAGGTTATTTTTCAGGCTGGCGGAGTGGCTCAAGTGAAGCAACTGCCTAGCAAGCATGAGGTCCTGAGGTTTTTGGTTTTTTTTTTTATTTTGGCCTGCCAAAAAAAAAAAAAGGTTAGTTTTCAAAGCAAATACTAAGACCAACTCATTGCAGAAACAAGCAAGCCCCAAGAAGTAAATTAAAATTATCATACACCATAATAAACATTGTATATATCCATCCATCATTTTTTTCTAGCTTATGTGTATGTGTTTTTACATAAAATTAGGATCCTACAGTTACCTTGTTTTGAAACCTGTTTCTGTGTTTTGTTTTGTTTTTGTTTTTGGCCATACTAGAGTTTGAACTCAGTGCCTCCTGCTTGCTAGGCAGGCACTCTACCACTTGAGCCAGGCCACCAGCCCCTGAAACCTGTTTCTTCCTCTGTTTTTACTTTTGAGAAAGTCTCAACATGTATCCTAGGCTAGCCTTGAACTCTCAGTCCTCCTGGATCACAGGTGTGTACAAATATATGCAGCTTTTGAAATCTGGTTTGTTTGTTTGTTTGTTTGTTTTGGGGGCGGGGTTGGTGGCACTGAAGTTTGAACTCAAGGCTTCACACTTGAGCCACTCCACTAGCCCTGAAATCTGTTTCTTCTAGTCTGTGTTTCTAATCTGTCTCTATGCACTTGTAGAGGCTCTTCTCTATCAAACCACCCCATCCTTTAAGCCCTAGCTCTGATGCAGCCTCCTCTAAGAAACTTTGCCTCTGAAGCTACAACAGAAAATACAGACCACTCTGAATTTTGTCATCACTAGCTCTTGCCCCTTTCTTGAAGCATGTCCAGGTCTACCTTGAATGAGAGTTTCTGGTGGTCTCCTTCTCACCTGTCCTGTTAAAGTGGGGAGCTCCTTTAGGGATGTTAACACTGCTTCTTTCATAAAGGTGCCCTTATAGTGCCTAGAATGTACACAGTAGGTATTTATAAGTCTCACTATACAAAGGGATGTAGGCTTCCTACTTTTCTTGTATTGAGTGATCTAAGATAGTATATACTCTATTAAGGGGTGAAAGAGTAACCCCAGGATCACCTAAATCTACCCTCCACCCGCCTTCCAGGGTTCTTCCAAATGCTCAGAAAAGAACAACCCAGCAGGACACTGGTGGTTCACGCCTGTAATCCTAGCTACTCAGGAAGCAGAGATCAGGAGGATTGTGGTTTAAAGCCAGCCAGGGCAAATAGTTCAAGAGACCCTACCTTGAAAATACCAATCACAAAAAAAAAAAAAGGCAGGGGGGGGCTTGTGGAGTAACTCAAGGTGTAGGCCCTGAGTTCAAACCCCAGCAATCCCCCCCCAAAAAAAAGAAAGGAACAATCCACACACAGAGCTCTGTGTGATATATATTTATATATATAATTGCTCTCATTTTATTGTCTTTATCTTTTTTACAGTAGATCTGACACAGGCATTAAATAACTGTAGAGAGAGACCACTGGGGAGAGAAGGGGGGAGGAAAACCTGGGGACCCAAAGGGAAGAGACACAGATCCAGCGAGAAAAAAAAGAGGGGAAAGGTCCATTGTGAGTGAGGTGTAAAGGGTGAAGCATTAATGAAGAAAGGGGAGGTTAGAAAGGGTGAGGAAGAGAAGGGAAACCACAGGAGAGTTAAAATGCCTCTATAACTAAAGGATACTCAGAGCAGAAGGCCCCTCATTTAACATTCTGTGGGCATTATGGGTTTTGTTTTTTTAAAGGCAAAAGGGTCTGAAGGAGATGGAGCCAAGAAATTCAGAGCCTAGACTGAGGAGGGCATTTGAAACTTTCAGGCTGGCATGCAGAGGAAAGGGAAGGAATTAGTGATTAGTTGGTAACTTGCTAGGAGAAGCAGAGAGATGATGATGTGGACAGATCTGGGCTCAGGAAGGAGGTGGACTAGTCCCCTACCCCGCCAGCTGACGTTTCCAAGGTGGCCACTGGGGATGGAGCCAAAATGGCTGTCCCTCCCCCAGAGCTCCATGGGAAGTGGAACTTGAAGGATATTCTGGGAAGGCGAGTGGGGGAAGGGAGCCATCAGTAAAAAACAAAGTAGATATTCAGCCTAAATCAAGCCCGCCTCTCTGAGTAGTGGCTATTTGGAACACAGGAGAGACCAGGAAAGAACTGGAATCTGGGGCCACTAGAGAATTTTCTAGAAGAATCAACACTTCTCTTCCACTCTCTTATTTCCATCGGTTCCTCATTTCCCAGCCTATGGAGCCACCACAGGGTGAGAAGCAAGATGTGCCAGCAAAGAGGAAAAAGGTCACAGAACCAACTTGTTCTCAGTTACAAATGGCTGCCTTTCAGAGGAGGGAATAGGGATGGGGAAGAAGAGAGGAAAGAAAGACCTGCTGGTGGACCCAGAGAAGTCAAAGCCACCAAGATAGTGACTGTAGAGACAGGGAGAAAGAATAAGAGAAAGATACAATGGCTGGAGCTTAAGAATGGGAGAAAGGAGTATCATGATTGTCTCTGGGAGGCATAGGGCTAAAACAGATGTGTGTGTGTGTGTGTGTGTGTGTGTGTGTGTGTGTGAGAAGTGGGCATTTCTATAGCTCTCAGGAAAGGAGGGCAGAAGTTCAGGCAGGAGTTCACAGCTAAACCAGAACTAGAAAGACTCCTAACTCCTCTGTGGTCATCTTGGTAGCCCATCTCTCTGTCTCTAGCTGAGGTAAGGCTGGGAGAAGATGGCAGAAAATGTGTGTAGTCAGGGAATATCACAGTGGATATCAGGCTGGGTTGAGAAGTCAAGGAAAAGGGTGTGAGGCTCAGACAAGTCATAGCTTTGTTATAAAAAATACCTTTGGGGCAGGTGAGGAAGGGATCAGGCAAGGTCAGGGACATTCCAGAAGCATCCACAGGAAAGAGGTGGGGACAAGAGAAAGGGGCCTCAGGTTTTGTTGATGCGGAGTTTGAAGGCCACTCGGCCGGCGAACTTATCTCGCTCATCATCTATGGCAATGTTGGCGGCATTAATGCGGCATTCCACATTCACCTCCACGTTGGGGGTCACATTTAGGAACTTCACAGCTACCAGGGGTTGTGTGTAGTTCACCTGGGCCAGAAAAGGAGAGTGAGAGCCTAGGTCTAGGGCCTTCTTCCCAAGAACCCTGTTGTGCCCCTCAGGAAGACATCACCCCAGACCTCCCATGGGACTTACATGGAACTTTTTGCCGTAGTAGGGGAAGTACATGAGGTCGATGTTGCCATTGGCAGGGAACATGACAAAGTGACCAAGATTCTCAGCATCTTCGTCTCGCTGTGGAGGGTGTACGAAGGTGGGTGGTGACCATGTTAGGAACGGCAGACACCTGGAAGCTCACAGCCTTCCCTTTTTTTTTTTTTTTTTGGTGACACTGGGGTTTAAACTCAGGGCCTCATGCTTGCTAGGCAGACAACTTGAGCCATGTTCCTAGTCACAAGACTTCCCTTTGTGTTTCCTTCACCCCAAATTATTCCTATCTCAAACATTTCTACTGAGTTATGTGTCTGTATGTGTTTGTCTGCATGTCTATAGAAGGGGATAGTCCGTCTCTTATCAGACTAGGAACTCCTGAAGGGTGCTAATGACACAGTGGAAGCCTCCTACTACACTGTCTTCCCAAGTTCTTACCCCATCCTTGGGAATCGGTCTCTGGAGCAGAGCCAAGAGAGAACAGATAAACAGTAAGAGCTCTGTAGGAAGGAGGAGGAGGGCGAATGGAGAAGGGCAGCAAATTTGTGGAGAGGACAGGGTAGGGGAGCAAGATTCCAAGGGCAGCTTAGTGGTAGATGGTGCTAACAGATCAGCAGCTACAAGACATCTAAAGGGAACTGGGGAATGGGGCGAGGTGGGAGGGAGAATAAAGGCACACACAATCAGGGGACAAAGGAAAGGGTGGCAGGGTTAGGGGGAGAAGCCAGAAGCCAGGACTTTGGCAGAGGGGAGAGCGGATCTGTCCCCAGGAGAGCAGGTTTCTGCATCCTAGAGAGAATCAAGAGGGCTAAGAGGACCCTAGAGTTCAAGCTACACTGGAAGCCACTCTTACCCCCTTGTCTCTATAGTGTTGGGGCCTCTAGGAACAAAAAAAGATAGGGAGAGATGGATGAATGACATGGAAACCATGAAGGACAAACAGGTGCACAGGTGGGCAAGGCCCACTAAACTCACCTTCCCAGAACAGGTAACATTCATGCTCTGATTTGCTCCTGCATAGAAGTTGATGACCTGGAGTGACAAGGGAGGGATGGAGGTGAGAGCTGGAGAAAGAAGTTGTCACATAACAAGCATCTGGCCTTCCAGCTATGAAGCTTAGCCACCAATAGCCCCACCTCTCTTGTTCTCTCAGCTATTCAAACAACCAAAAATCTCTCTAATGCCCATTAACCTCAGTGAAAGGACACAGCAGTTAACAGATGGTGGCCCCAGCTCCCTCCTTCATGTTCCCTGGGGACCAAGGTCATGGGTACCCGGTTCATCTTGATGAAGACACAGGGCTGCCCAGTGCTGTATCCATAGTGAGTGGGGTCCCCGATGCCGGAGCAGTTGCCCAGTTGGGTCCGGTTGAACTGGCAGGCACGTTTTGGATAGTTGAGGACCCCATTGTCTGGCTGCTCATAATATCGCCCAAGACGGCAGACATCATTCTTTTGGGCTTGGATGGAGTCGTTGTAAGCTAAGAAGGTGAAAAGGAGAGAGTCACAGGCCTAATGGTCTACTTCTAGGGTCCCCCAGTCTCCTGCCCAAAGTCCTGGGGTGGTACATAGCCAGACCCACACTCACGCTCCAAGAACTTGTTGAGTTTCTGAACATGCTGGTCCCAGCTTTCAGTGTCACTGACGTTGACAATGACATCAAGGTTCTCAGTCTTGGGGCGAATCATCAAGCCTATAGCCAACATGGGCAAGGGTGGGGGCATGTAGAAGATGAGGACCAGACACAGAGGGAAGAAGATAAGATACCTGGGGAACACCAGTGTGAAAGGTAGGATGAGTCTGAGATCATCCTCATGGGACAGCAATCTCCTGAAAGGATCTCCATTTCCCTGTTCACATAGCTCCCAGCTTGTGGGACATGGGAAGGAAGACAGACTTCAAGAAGAACTTCCTAGCACATCGTGATTGCATCATCAGAACCAAATTCCTGAAAAGAACTGTAAGTTCCTTTTGGAGACTTGGGGGCAAAAGAGAAGTTAGAGTGTCTGCTAGAGGGAACCTCCTCACTTACCAGGCGTGGCCAGTCGGTCCTGATACTTGGGGGTATGGTCAGAGACAGTCTGCAGCATCACCCACATGGTGAGGGTGAACATGGCTGTGAGGAAGCCATAGAAGATGAGGTAGAAGAGGAGGATAAAGGCTATAGAGGAAAAAACAGAGTCCACAGGTTCTAAGTCTTCTGCCATGACCCACCTAGCCCCACTCACCCCTCTTGCTTTTAAGTTCTGCACTGGGGTGGGCCACACAGCTACAGGATGTCTCAGCACTTTCCCCTGGGAGCCAAAGGAAACAAGCTGGAAACAGGCAGTGACCAGCTTCCAGCCCTGACTCCCAGACCTCTCCTGGTCCTAGAGCACGGTAGAGCCCAACCTTGCGGAGGCCACAAGAGACCTAATCTCTTGTTGCTGGGACAACCCCAAGAATAGGCTACTGTCATTCTGCCTCTAATTACATTTCCAATTTCTCAACCATGCATGGTCCCGAAAAGGCACAACATCTGTTACTGTGGCACCAGTACTCACGCTTAAAGCTGTCCTACCAGAATGACTGTAAGCTAGTTTTGACCACTATTCCCAGCCAAACTCTCACTTCCATACCATGCAGCCTGAACCCAGATCATTCTTCTGGCATCTCACAGAAGCCAAACCCTGAAAGCAGTTATTAAAATGATGGGTCTAACACTGTCCTAGCTATGAAGTGTCTGAGACAGCATCAGAATTTCAGCAGTCCCCACACCTCAACTCACATGCAGGACCCTGGGTAGAGGCCTGGAGCAAAGGCAGACTCCCTCACAGCGTTCGTTTGACACCATCTCTCTGTAAATCCTCTCCCTCAGCTTCTTGTAAGGACTTGTAGTTCCCACCACCCTGAACTATCAGTTCTCCCACCCCACTAAGTCCTCAGATTGTCCCCAAACACTCAAGATCCCAGGAGCTGGGCCTCCAGTTCTCTGAGGACAGGGATTGCATTGGACCCCCCTTTCATGGGCCCCTAGGCCCTAGGTGGGTGGACTGATGGGACAGAGTCCAATCAGTGCAGATAAATTGTAAACTGTGTCACACAGAGTTCCTTGTGCCTCAGCTCTCCAGCTTGACAATTTCTTTTGGAAGAATTCCACCCCTCCTCTCACTTAAGCTCATCACCAGACCTCTACCACATACAGGTCCTTCTACGGTCCCACCATGATAAGAGTGGGAAGGTCCCCAAAGTCGTCAGAGTTCCATGACACACCCTGCCTGATGATATGCCCATCTCACCAAAGTGACTATTCATCCCTCCATGCTGACATCTGAGCAGAACATCCACACTGAAAACCTCATTGTCACCCCTCCCAGCAACCCCCCCACCCGCAAAGCAGTTATAGAAGGCTTCAAACGCTCAGTGGTGTAATATAGACAAACAACTTCCTCTGTGAAGAGCCCCCCTAAAGCCCCCCTCCCAGGCCCGCCCCCTCATCAATGTTCCCAGGGTCCAGGGGGTGGGCACGAACTAAAAATAGATGCGTTGGCTAGCTAGTACGAGCCGGAGGGAGGGAAGGGGCACTCAGGAGATGGGGGATGACCGTGTGGAGCCAAAGGCCCTGAGTCGGAGCGGGAGCGCCGCGGCGCGGACACGCGCGCAGAGCCCGCGACCCCCCGCCCGAGGGGGCTCCGCGGGAGGCGGGAAGGCGGCAGTGACCTACTTTCACCGCCTCCGCAGCGGCCAGCCTGGGAGATTAGACCTGTGATTCGGCCCCCTCCCAGCCCAAAGCCCGGCAGGGGAGCCGGACGCCAGGGACCTGTCAGGGAAGCTGGGCCATGCCCACGGGACCTGCACCCCGAGGCGTCGCCGGCGGCCTCCCCACAGCCTTTCCCGCGCCAGCCCCGCGTACCCCAGCTGGTCCCGGTGCGGCCCATGAACTGATGTGTCCTCGGGTTCCACACGAACTCCTTCCACTCCTCAACCACCTGCCCGCAGCTCTTCTTCTCTTTCTGGATGACCATCTTGGCGGCGCGGGGCGAGTCCCGGCGCTGGGCGGGGGGCTGCGGAGAAGCGGGGGTGCGGTGCACTGAAGCTCTCCACGCACCCTAACGCGCGAGGAACGAAGGCGGCGGGGACGAGGGGGGACCCCACTCAAATATGCAGCTGCTGCAAATTCCGGGGTGCACGGCCACGCGCTGTGGGGTGAGGCAGCGCGGCGGAGGTGCGCGATGCTAGACGCCCCGACTGCGATGAAAGGGGGGGTGCTGTCAGAGCAGGGAAAGATAACGAGGGGCAGGGGTGTGAGCCCAGCTTCACCCCACAAACCGGGTAGAAGCAAAACAAAAAGGGGTGCAAAACCAGACGGCTACAAAACGCAAGCGAAATGCAGAAAAAAGCGAGGTGTTAAGAGGCAGAGAAAGGTGGGGGGAGGGAGCCGCCCCGAAATCCAAGATGCAAAGAAGCTGTGGAACGTTTCAGGTGGCCGCTCAAGGTTCCTCCGCCAAGCAGAGACCGCCACACCGCTGGTAGCCCAGCCGTTGAGGCTGGGGCGGGAACGCGCAGTTGGGGGACAGCCAGAGACTGGGGTCCCCCGGGCGGAGGCTCCGCTCCTCAGCAGTGCAGAGCTCGCGGTCGCTGCGCTCGGTCTTTATACTCTGCGACTCTGACGGTGCCCGCCCCCTTCCCATCCCAGAAGCCCCGCCCCTTCGTTGCTGGCCCAGGCGACCTCATGCATATGCAAATACAGAGACTTAGACTCGCCCCCTGCTGCCTCTGGGACCAGAAGATCTCTTCCCTACCCTCACCCCCGGTTCTGGATTGGAACAGGGTGGAGGACGGGGACGGAGGGTGTGTCTGGGTGGAGTTGAGGAAAGTATTACCCCCATGAGGCTCAGAGACCCAGAGTGAAGCAGATCAGTGCTCAAAGGTGGGGGCCCCACGCAGGGAGCTGGAAAGTGAGTAGGACAGAGATACTGAGTAAGCCTCCTGGACACAGACCCGGCAGAATGTGAGGATTAGAGAAGAGCCAGAGACAAGAAAGAGTCAAGAGACCGGCCGCGAACACAGAAATGGATAGAAGCCACTACAGGCACACTTCCTTCTCCAGTCCCTCAGCCCCTCGTCTATCCCATCTGGTTCTTTCCATGCACACAGGCTTTCCCCACCTTCCCTAAAAATGTCTCCCTGAAAGTCCTCCCAACACCACATTCCTAGTCCCCAGCATTACGTTGAGATCTCAGCCCTACAGCTATGTCTGCTCGGGAATTCTGCCTCTCAGCACCCCTGTTTACATGGTTGATCCCACCCTCTTTTTACCATTTGGGTAAGTAAACATTTATTGAGCACCTACTAGGCCTGCTCCAGCTCTGGGGAGGCCAAGATTAGGTTGAAATTTTAACTCACAGAGCTGGAGAGGCCCACAATCCAGTAGGGAAGATCTCTAAACATCATGAATCATTGTATCAGCCAGGTGTGCTGACATGTGCCTGCAACTCCAGCACTCCAGGCCAGCCTGGGCTACATAGCAAGAACATGTGTCACCCCTGCAGCCCCCACCCCATCCCCTCAAAAAAGTCATTTTCTCCACTTCTTTTCATCTTTTGACTCATCACTTTTCCTTGTAAATGTTTTTCTTCTCCTTTGGATTCTCACCTCAATTCTTTTTTCTTCCTTCCTTTCTTCTTTTTTTTTTTTTTGAGACAGTTTCCCCAGGTAGCCCAGACTGATCTTAAATTCATGATCATCCTACCTCAGCATCCTTAGTGCTTGGACTACAGACATTTATCACCATGCCTGGCTGCCAACTTAAATATCTACCATTTGAGCCATTCCACCAGCCCTGTTTTGTGTTGGGTATTTCAAGATAGGGTCTTGAGAACTGTCTACCCTGGCTGGCTTTGAACTTCAATCTTCCTGATCTCTGCCTCCTGAGTAGCTATGATTAGAAATGAAATCAGTGCCACCAGTGCCTGGCTTGAATATCTAGATAGTATCTCTTTTCTTTTTTGGCAGTACTGGAGCTTGAACTCAGGACCTTATGCTTACTAGGCAGGGGCTCTACCACTTGAGCCACTCCAGCCCAACAGTATCTTTGAACTTGTGCTTTTGTTAAGTGAGGGACATGTGAGCAGAGGAGATGCCTGTAATATCCAGTCCCATTTGAAATGCTCCATCAAAACAGAATTCTGGTGAGACTACATGTGGGAGTTTCTTTAGACTCAGTGCATACACAGGTAAGTGTGTTCAGTCTCAACTGAATAACAGGGTGGGAACTGACAGCCGAGAAACCCAGTTCCTATTGGAAGCAGAATTTGCCTTGAACACAGAAAGTAAGCAATGGCATTCAGGATACATGAATGATTAAGGCATCTTATCAAATCCATTTGGGCTGGCAATGGTAACATCAGAGGAAAGGGAGAGCTGGGGCAACCCATAGTTCCTTTTATTTTCAGTCTTTCCTTACTTATCCCTTCATATCCAGAAGCTGAAAGTAGAAAAATGTTAATTTTAAAATCTGAGTATGTGGCTCAAGTGGTAGACTGCTTGCCTAGCATTTGAGAGGCCCTAGGTTCAATTCCCAGTACTACAAAAAAAAAGGTTTTCGCAGATTCTGCTGTCCTCTGTAGCTGCCCACTGCCAACCATGGTCAATCCCACTGTTCTTCAACATCACCACTGATGGCGAGCCCTTGAACTACATCTCCTTCAAGCTGTTTGAAGATAAATTTCCAAAGATAGCAGAAAAGTTTTGTGTTGTGAACACTGGAAAGAAATAATTTGGTTATAAGGGTTCCTGCTTTGGGGGAATTATTCTAGGATTCATGTGCCAGGGTGGTGTCTTCACAAGCCATAATGACAACAGGTGGCAAGTCCACCTACAAGGAGAAGTTTGATGATGAGAACTTCCTGGTGAAGCATAGGTCCTGGCATCTTGTCTTTGTGCTGGACCCAACACAAATGGCTCCCAGTTTTTCATCTGTACTGCTGAGACTAAGAGGTTAGGGGGCAAGCATGTGGGCTTTGGGAAGGTGAAAGAGGGCATGAGCATTGTGGAAGCCATGGAAGGCTTTGAGTCCAGGAATGATAAGACCAGCAACAAGATCATCGTTGCTAATCATGGACAACTCTAATGCATTTGACTTGCATTTATCCTAACATGAGACCATCCCTTCTGCAGCTCAGAAGAGCACCCTCCATCACATCTGCTTGCAATATCCTATCATCTTAGCACTCTTGCTGCAGTGCTTTGGGTTCCTTTTTTTTTCTCTTTTGCAGTACTAGGGTTTGAACTCAGGGTCTACACCTTGAGCCACTCCACCAGCCTTTTTTTTGTGATGAGTTTTTTTGAGATAGGGCCTCATGAACTATTTGCCCTGGCTGGTTTTGAACCAAGACCCTCTTGATCTCTGCCTCCTGAGTAGCTAGGATGACAGGTGTGAGCCACCAGCGCCTGGCCTGGGTTCCATATTTTCCTTATTCTTCTCCAAGTCTAACTGAATTTAAGAGGTAAGCTTGATTATGAATTAAAAACTGAATAACAAAAAAACCTAAACATCAAATAGCAAAGAAAACAAAATCACAAGAAGTTGAGAGAACTGTGGAAGAAAGGGAAATATTTTATATTTTACTGTCTCTCATGGCACTATCATCCTGTTTTATGAACAGGGGCTCCACATTTTTATCTTGAACTTAGGTTGCACATACTATGCAGCTGGACCTGCTTTTTTTCACTGAATTCTGCAGCAGACTCTGGATTAATTGGGCCACAGCTCAGCTCAAAGATTTCCTATGGTTTCTCTTACCCAGCAGGATGGAGTCCTGATTCTTCAGTCTAAACTTCAGGACACTTCACAATCTATACCCAGCTTATATCCCCAACCATCAAGTCCTCTGCTGGAGCTGAGCCAACCATTCATGGCACAGACTAGGCTTAACCCTGACTTCATATCTTTGTCTATTTCCTTCCGTCATCCTGGAAGACTGCCCATCCCTCATAGCCAACCCCCATTCATTCATTCAATGCTTATCTAATGAGGATTTGCCTAGAGACAGCCACTACTCTGTTCCCTGTGTTTCTGGGGCTCCCATTTTGGTAGACAACAAAAATAAGCAAATAGATAAAATAATGTAAATTATTATGCAATAATAATGGCTCCTACCTATGTCACAGGGTGACGTCCCAGAGAGTGACTGGTTGGTCAGAGATGATCCTACTAAGGAGGCAACTTTTTTTTTTCTGTGGCACTGAGGATTGAATCCAGGGTCTTGAGCATGTTAGGCAAGCCTTTGGTATATCCAACCCTTTTTATTTTTTACTTTGAAACAAGTTCTCAATTTGTTGCTCAGGCTGGCCTCAAACTCTCCATCCTCCTGCCTCAGCCTCCCAAGTGCTGGTATTACAGTTGTGTAACACGACATCTGGCTAGGAGGTAACTTTTAATGTGAGATCTGAATGACAGAAAGTTGCTATGGGGAGTAATGGGAGAAGAACTTTCCAGGAAGAGGGGAAGTACAAGTGTGAAAGCTGATCCTGGATGAACGAAGGCAAGAGACTGGAGAGTGGAAAGGTAGGTAAGAGCCAAACTCTGTCAGCCAAGAGGAGCAGTTTGGACCTTTTTTCTTTCTTTCTTTCTTTCTTTCTTTTTTTTGAGACAGGGTCTTGAACTCAATCATCCTGCTTCTGCTTCCCCATGCTGGGATTACAGGTCTGTAATCAACTGAAGCTTAGATTTTAATCTAAATATCCTGGAAGTAAGCCTAAGCATTGTTTCTTTGTTTTGTTTTTTTCTCCTGGTATTGGGGTTTGAACTCCAGGCCCAGGAGGCACTCTACCACTTGAGCCATTCCACCAGCCATTTTTTGTGTTGGGTATTTTTGAGATAGGGTCTCAAGAACTATTTGCTTGGTCTGGCTTCAAACTGTGATCTTCCTGGTCTCTGCCTCCTGAGTGGCTAGGATTACAGGAGTGAGCCACTGGCGCCCAGGTAAGCTTAAAGTTCTAAGCTGTGGAGTGACATGATAAAACATAATGAAAGTGTTGGGCTGGTGACACATACCTGTAATCCCAGCTACTTGGTAGACTGAGGCAGGAGAATCATTTGAGCCCAGAAGTTTGAGGTCAGGCTGGGAAACACAGCACGACCCTATCTCAAAAAAAAAAAAAAAAAAACTGGACATGGTAAAGTATGCCTAGAATCTCATCACTTGGAAGGCTAAGTATGGAGGATTTAAAGTTCAAGGCCTGCTGGGTGCTGGTAGCTCACACCTGAATCCTCACTACTTGGGAAACAGAAATCAGGAGGATGGCTGTTTGAGGCCAGCCCAGGCAACAAAAAGCAAGACCCTATCTCAAAAATACCCAACACACACACACACACACACACACACACACATACATGGCTGATAGAGTGGCTGAAGTGTAGAGCACCTGCCTAAGTGTGAGACACACTCACACACACACACACACAATATTTGCAGTTTTTTTTGTGTGTATGTGTGTGTGACTGGGGTTTGAACTCAGACTTC